TTAATGCCTTTCATTTATTCTTTAGCTCATATACTTACTCCCCCTCTTCTAGCTTCTACGCTTGCTCCTTTACCCCTTTACTCCTTCTAGCCTCTACGTATATATCCTTCCGTTCATTTTTCTTACAACTCTAATATTCGAAAAACCTAAGGTCTCTTAGATCTCTTGTTTTTTTTTTAAGAAAAATTCAAAAATAAATAGTTTTCATCATGAACATATTATATTTATTACTAACAAAATGAATGCTTTATTACTAATAAATAAAATATTAATATTATAAGAGTTCTAGAATCTACTTATTTTATATATATCGAGTTTCCCACTAAAAAATTCAATTATTTAACTTTTTAATATTATATTTTATAGAAAATACTAAAAAAATCTAATACATTTTTTGGAATTTATTTGAATTATAAGAAAGACAGATAGTTTATTTTTCTTTAATTTATTGATAAATTTATAAGGTTTTAAAGATAAAAATTATAAAGTTTTCAAATTTTCAGATTTTTTATTTATTTTGTATGGGAAAAGTATTACAAGTTAGAATTTTTTTAAATTTCAACTTCTTTTAATCCTTTAATAAAAATAATAAAAAATAAATTATATGTTTTTTCAAATAATTTATAATATTCGATGTATATTATCAAACTCTTAGAATCAAATCTTTTAAATTGAAAAAGCTATTGAGTTTTGAATTTGTATAGGAAACCCTCATTTCTGTAGGAATTTTATTACTAAACCATATGCGGTGCGGTAAGTAGGTTCCAGAACTCTTAATGTATGTACAAAATAGAAATTTGCATAGGGATTTATATTAAATTTCTTTTGGTACCAAGGTATTAACTTTGCCACCACAGGGTGAGGTCTTCCTGAATATGTCTTGGGCAGTTAGTAATGTGATCAAATTCACTATCAGTTAGATGTTCAAGTCTATCATTGATTTGTATCAATCGTGCAAGAAATTTATGCAAGAAATTTATGGTTCGGTCTTTATGAATGAGTGCGAGAATTATAGAGGCCCCAATGTTCAAAGTCGAGATGAAAAGGTGCCTGGAATTGATGCTGGAAAGAGAAGCTAGTCCTATTCATCTGACCTACCTCTTTCTGGATTTGATTTGATTCACTGATATTCAACATGTTATTTCTCCACTTCAAATCTCACTTGAACTGCCCTCAATTTGTTGTTATGCCGTGCAGAAGCAATCATGTTGAGTAAGGAGATCTCTGACTTGGAAACAGGCTACACAGAAATAATCTGTATTTGCAGGTAATCTACAGATAGTCAATTCTACAGATAGTGTATTTAAGATCCTACTTGTTCTGCAGACTATCTACAAAGCTTTTAAAACAATCTACTTTGTGTAGATTATCGATAAATCATCTGCAGATAATCTACTTGTATTAATGTTGCACAATATTGATATGATTGATATAAGAATTAATATAATTTCATTATATCGAAGCTTGGTTCACTCATGATCTAGGGACAGCTATAAGAAAGTGAATAAAATTCCGAATTATCTCTTCATTTGGAGAGGCGGATTGTCTGCAGATAGGATGCATTTTATCTATATGAATTTTCAAAAATCTGTTCTGCAGACAGATGATGGGGCCAATAACCTGTTTCGCAGGTAGCCGCTGCGCAGCCTCCTTGCAAAATGGTTTACGTTCTTTGAAACCCTAAGTCAATCTCGAGAATTGTCCCAGTTTATACTTAACCCTAAGAATCTCAACCTTCAAGACTGCTTCTTCTCCCCGAATGATCTATACTATGTAAACCTAGAAAGGTCGTGAGAGTAGTGAATGAGGAAAGTGTCATTTGAGTATTGTGATCACAGTCGTTTTACTTTTCCCGACGAGGTACCTGGCCTCCGGAGAGAGTTATGAACTCCTATGTCGTTTTAAAATTTCTTTCAGTCCTAGACAAGTATTCCAAGCTTCGAAAATATCATCCAATGAGCATTTGAGAGTGCCAAGTCGCAGCCTATCTTGCTCCTTTCTGAAAGTCTGGAATGGGCTAACTTCTTTTTAAAATATTTGTGTATAATTGAATCCCGTTTCTTTTTGATGAAGGTGGGGTGATTTTTGATATCGATCTCTGATTTTGCTTCTCACTAGTTATGGTGGGTTCGAATCATGTTCATGAGGATGTGAAGTCCAGAAGCGTAAAGAGTATCAGGTGTGTATGTGATTGAGCCAGCTTAGGAGGTAAGGGAAAGTCTTAGGTATCGTTTGTGACTAGCATTATCTGTTTCTGCAACTTAAAAGCTCAATTGAAAATATTGAATTAATGAAATTCTAAAATCCGCACTGCGTGACAGATAAATTCAAAGCCCGGGGCTGATTAAGCTAGAAATGAATCGAAAGAGCTAGGGAGATGTGAAGTAAGAACACTCCCATTCTGCATAAGAACTCAGTATTCTTTAACATTTAGTTTTCAGAATAGATATCTGAAGTGTATATTTCCATCAAGGATGTGTACAATAATTTCCTCCGGGGCTTCTATCCTCGTCCAAACTCTTTCGGCAGCTTCTCGATTCTTTCGAGGCACACTATGGCAGCATCCATACGGTAAAACAATGTGGCCCCGGCCGGGCCGGCCCCCAGGTTCGTCGAAGCCGCTCATCATATTGAAGTAGCCGTTCTATCTAGATCATGAGTTACAACTAGCCACGACGGTGCGTCTGAGCAACAGCTCTCCATACGAATCTCACACTGATCAACATGAGATCCATGCCATAGTTCAGTGATGAGAAGCTAATAATAGTGGAGGATTCCAACGCTAGAGTTGATACACTCAAGCTCGAGAGATCACTCTCCAGAGTGGACATAAGACAGACTAAAACAATGAAAAGTGCGACTTTACCACCTGCCAGCAAAGTCCAGGCTACATTCTGTGAAAATTAAAACAAGGTAGCATGCCTTTTACAGAGACCAAGACTAAGAATTTGAGAGCCGCGAGATTGATACCGTACTTCCCCGTTCCAATTGCTAGTGATAAGCGGTAGTCGAAGTTCTTCTTTTTACAACGCAATACAGCAGGAAAAGGAGATAAAACTGTTGACAAATGTTGGTATCATTTTTGTGGCCATGGCAGTAGAATTTGTTTAGTTTGAAATTTCAACAAAACATTTTTTCTTTCATGAAGATGCATTGATTGACCCGTGGTGTGTGGCCTTAGATGTTGAATCTTCTCCGAAGGAATGACTCCCGTAATTGAATGACTGACTGATCAGCTTCTCCACTGGATATTTACCTGTCACTAGACTAGATCTGCATCATCCGCGTTCTGTCAGCATGAAAACTGTGTAAGTCATCGCAAATAAATATCGAATACGCATCCACTGACTGTTGATTGCGTGATTGAAGCTATTGGGTAATTGATGATACGCAAGAATGCTTAAAAAAACGTAGAAGGCCCAAGGCTGCATTAGTCTTTCGGGGTATGTAATCAATAATATTCACTTCCCTCTATATCCTGCAGCATTGTAGTAAATTTCAGGAGAAGTCATCATTCCCTCGAGACCGCAAGTGGGTACACAGATGATTAAATCCGATATCGGTGCTTTGAACCACACCTGATTCACGGGAAGGCTGTGAATAGATTCACTGCAGTTATGAAATGAGAATCGAACGGATTATCGATTGAACCTAATTTGTTGGGCGTTCACGGATTCGCGTAATTATCATTAGCCTGGGAGAAAAAGCATTTCAAGCTAATAGTATGATCATGTGAGAGGAAAGGGTGGGAGAAGAGATATGCAGAGCTACAGATTTGCATCATCTAAAGTATCAATGAATGATTTTTCATCGATACCATCTCGTTCAGCGATACAGGTTCACGGTCTTTAGATCCCCGTACCAAGCCCTGCAGAGCTTTATAGAGATTCTGCGTCGGAATGCCTGATTTGGACGATACATTAGAAGTGATTTTGCATCGGCATACGGCAGCTCCAGTAGGAGCGTCTAATGCAAAATTTTGGGCTCTGTAATGGCACCAATTGTGACGTCTCCATGAAGTCGAAAACATCAAATAATTTGTTCCGTGGCAGCGGAACATGTTCTACTATTGACTCACCTCATGTATCTCATCCTAGGTACATAAAAGAGAATGTCAAAATTTCCGCAGAACTTTGAGATTTCAGAATGTATGAAAGTTTCTCAAACTTTGATATTCTTCTCTCAGCCCATATATCGAGCGACGACCAGTCAACAAAAGCATGTGATACTTTAAATTTTGATCTTTCGATCAGGAATGAACGAGATCTTATTGATTGGTCCAAATCCATTAATATTCGAAAATAAATCTAACGACAAACCGCAACAACTTTTTGTTTTCCGAGGTGATTCTTTTGCTTACAATGACAAGTTACAGTATGTGTTGTATGAGAGGAAAGAAAGGGGTGATTATTAGCCGAAGAATTTTTCAGTCAGTGCCAAGAGAGAGGTAGAGCAATTCTGATATCATCGCGACTCATTGCTTGCTTACTACATCTCATTAAATGTGATATCGAAATTTCCTGCCAACATGATTTTAGACACCCATTTATTGATCTTAGATCAAGATAAACGGCAGTTCATACTCCGCGCTAGATGCTAGATTCATGGCGTGTTGGCACACTCTGCATACAGCTTGGATCAATGATTTTAACCTCCTTAAATATCAAGTATGTCGATTTTATTACATACCGCAGAAACTTTGTATTATTTCTAGTTCTTTCAATCAGAAAGTCTTTATTAGTTGGCTGAATTTAGTGTTGATCTCTTCTTGGCGCACACTTTATTGATATTTGTTGCAGATCGCAAGCCCCCTGTATGTTCTTGGTTGATCTTAGCACCTACGCAATGGCACCTTCTTAATGCTTGACTAAAAGCGAAACTAAATGATAAATGGAATTTGTTGCATATCTCGTACCCCTGCAGTTCCTTAGTTAATGCTAGCTGCATTGTTTCTAGCTGCTACCTAGGTATCACTTACCGCATCTTTTCGTGAGATACATATGATTGATTCATCAGCATCCATTTTGACCAAGTCACCTATCCTATACCATCGTGTTCAAGAACCCTCCCATTTGAAATCGACCCCAGCAGTCTCCTCTCCTCTCATCTCTTTCATCAAGCCACTAAAGCAAAATTATGCGTATGGGTTTGATGGCTATGATCTTCAGGTTAGTTCTCGAAAAGCTAATTCTAGATTGCGCTTCACAATTGAAAACAGTTGCAATGTTCTCAAAGCTAATCTGCAGTATTCAAAAAATACGCGGTGAATATACCCTATCTTTTAACTTGTGAATCATTAGGTCAAAACACATTTATCATCTACATACCCTAGACAAATCCCACTCCTAATCACCATTTATTAGGAGTTCGAAAAAATGTCCAGGTGTATATATATAGGGCACAAATGAGTATGACCTATATACTCCAACTCCCCCAAATCTTTTACCAACAGACATCAGAGCTCTTAGCAAGCCACCCTCACAGTCTCTAATATCCTATAATCACAAAAAAGCCCCTGATATCTCGTCATTTCATCAAAACATATACACTCCCAAACCGATATCATTACTCAAGAGCACAATCATGGATATCCAAAACACATACACACACAGCTGTCACCACATAGCCCACGGTCCCGTCCTATCGAATCCTCTTATATACCTGCCTCTCACAACCCATACGCGTTCCCTGCTTTCCCCACAAAAATTGAACCTCAAAGTCCCGTTTCGGTGTCCTTTCTGCGAAGACCCAGATCTTCATGATACTGTTCCTGCTGGGAAGGGTGTGCTTGTGATTATGAGTTCTCTGAAGAAAGAGAACGAGAGGAGCGAAGTAGTAGAGAGGTTGTCTGAGTCAAAGTTACTTCCATCGATTCCATCAATATACTCTGCACCATATCCTCCATACCTGCCTACCTTCTGCTCATTCTATTCTCCACCTCCTGTCCTGTCGCTTTTTCCTCCACATTTTCCATTCTCTCCGACATCTTATCATCTTTCATCTCCGAAAGTTCCAAACAGATGGAAAATAATCCGCATTTGTGGAGTCGAGGACATCAAGAGTACAGAATGGGCGTATGAGATCGAGACCGAAACAGTAAAAGATAAAAACGCAATCGAGCATCCCGAAAATATGTGGAGCGAGCGACGACAGAATCTCACCCCCAGAGAAGAGGAATGGATCCCGATGGCTTGGATCCCTAGACCTGTTGGAGATGTTGATGTGTTAGCAATTCCAGACACCGGGCCACACAATACTTTTCATTTTTTAACCGGTTCGCGCCTTGCTCCTCATTATCCCCCTTCTTCCTCTCACTCCAATTCGAACCCCCAGAATCAAAAACTCCACATCTCGCAATCCTGGAGAGGTACAACAGGTGAAGATTCAAACGGTTATGGATATCGTGGGAGAATATTGGGTCAGAGTAGATTGCCCGGGATGATGAGTGAACTGGGTACTTTTCTGCGGAACAATAGGGCGGAGGATGGAAATTCGGGGAGCAGAACAGACATGAGAGAAAGAATGAGGGAGAGGGGTTTGAGATGGGAATGAGGGTTAGGGAGAAAATTTCAGACTGGATAGTGCGTGGATGATGCATGGAGTGGATGGATTGCGTTCTTAAAAACGGTCGAGGATGTTGTAGATGCGGGCCTGGAAGATGCTGGAGTTTTCTAACATTTGCGGCGAAACTGGGTTGGATATGAATACAGACACAGAGAACCAGAGAATATGAAGAGCTCACATTGTGTTCAATAACGACCACTTCAGTAAACCATTAATTTAAAGGTTCTAAACCAGGATTCGCGTCACCATCACAATGGTAGCATTTTTTTAATGCTTAATTTTATTTAACTATCTATCCGTATCCTTCATTTCTCGAGTTTTTTTTTAAGAAAGTAGTCCATCAGAATTTTTCTCCTGTCCAGCACCAATTTTGAGTATTCGCACCATGCTTAAGGTATCTTATCATTTGGTATGTCAAATCATGAAATGCATCGAATGCATCTCTGTGTCTTTTTAATCCTTGTCGTGTGATAGAAACTCAAATCCTCCCAGTAACAGTTGATGAGTGCGCCTTTTAGTGAACAGAAAATGAAAATGACAAAATGACAAAAAAACAAAAGTAGCTCAGCACCAGTCCACAAGAGACATGCCGATTCTCCATACTATGCAATAAAAAAATTGGAGGGTATGCCCATCCTACATATTATACAAACATTTCCTGGTATTTTGTGAAATAGAACGGAAACCTAAACACCATTTTCCCCATTATCTCTTCGTTCACGTCTCTGGTTAGATCTCCGAGCCAGATCTTCAGAACCATAAACATCGCGAAAAGCTTCGAGTTGTCCAGTCAAACCACGTAACATTCTTGACATTTCAAAAACCATTTCTTCATGCGCTGCTTCGCCTGTCAAAGCACGAACTGAAGGAGCATTGGGTAGATTTGGGAAATGTGCCATGGTATATGTGGCATTTGGATCGCGTGAAGGAGCAGACGTTGGAGGTGGCTGGGTCGAAGCGGTTGCGTAGTCTGAGTCTGTATCATTGGCATCTGTGTTGTAACCCATCGTACTCTCAGCAGCTGAATCCGAAAAGTCTGATATATCGGCAATGTCGCGAAGAGCATTACCAGTACGAAGACGAGGTGGACGATCTGCGCGAAGTGAACGTGATGTACTTTCCGGACGAGGAGGCGTAGCAGAAGCTGAGAATGTTCCCATTTCTTCTGTAACGTAGATCGAAGGTTCGCGCTCATGAGATGGGGCGTAAAGAGAAGGCTCGCGCTCGTGAGATGGGGCGTAAAGAGAAGGCTCGCGCTCGTGGGAAGGCACGAATAAAGAGGGTTCGCGGGAGTGAGAAGGAGTATAAAGAGAAGGTTCACGGGAATGAGGGGTAGGTTGAGAAAGTGAAGCATGACGTTCGAGTTCAAATGGATTTACTGTAGAAGACGTCAATGCTTGTCCAGAATGGCTTAGAATGGAAATAGCATCAGAATCTGCTGTTGATGGTCGACCAAAATCAGGATTGAAAGCTGGTACCGGGTCCAGCATGCTCATATCTAGATCGATGAGAGATTCGCGGAAGGATAAACGAGGCATACCACTGTGGACTTCTGCAGGTGGAAGTCCACCACTGAATCCACCTAGAGGCTCAGTTGGATGATGAATCAAACCAGGACGACCACCGATGCCTGGAGTGAATGCTGGTTTGGGAACTTCATAAGTTGAAGGGGGAAACCTAGATACCTCTGGATCTGCTGACGCCGGCGGTACCATTGTTGGAAATTTCCATTCTCGCGTACGTCGATTCGGATTTATATCAGCTGGATCGCTAAGTGCTGGTCGACTGAAATCGGGCAATGTGGTCATATAATCTTCATCGGGTTCCTCTCGTACACGTCTTCCTGCTTTGATAGTATCCATATCCGGGAATACAGATATACCTGTTTCGGCATCATGCCCTCCAAGATCAATCATAGTATCCCTGATCGATGTTTGCGCTGTATCATCACGTAAAGGTAAGTCAGAACGAGATGGAACAGGTGGTAATTCTGAAGTTGGCGGAAGGTACGGCCGGCCATAATGATTGCGAACATTATCCTCATAGCTTGTTAGTGTGTTTGGATCAAAGATCTTTTCTAAGGGACCACGAGATGGTGCTAGGGCCTCTGGTGGGGGACGGCGTCGTCCTTTTTGAGGTGGCGGACGGGCAGTCTCTTGAGGGAAGCCAGGATCAAACTCAACACCTGAGCCATACACATCGTAAACATCTTGAGCTGTTGATTTGCGTCTAACTTCTTGTTCGAATGCAGCAGTTGTACTAAAGTTCCACTCATCATCGGACAATGCCGTTGAGGAAAACTCTGATGGTGCTTGCGCTCCACCTAACATGAATAGAGATTTCCTGCTTCCCCCATGATCTTCCCACAGCTTGAATGCCCTGACAAGATGAGAAAGTGAGGACATTGGATATTTTGAACTAGTGTTGAGAATGTAATGATGATTCTGAACTCGGTCAATGGAAGGACGTTCACTTGGGAACTCTTCCAAGCAGAAGGCAACGAGGTCTCTTAGTTCGTCAGAATAATCACCTCCTTCAAGTCGTGGAGCATGCTGTTTAATAAGAGAGCCAAGTCGATCGAATGGAAGTCGACTCATGGCATTAGGCGGAAGACCAGTGGAGATCTCATAAGCCATGCAGCCGAAAGCCCATATATCAACTTCTTTACCATAGCTGGGGACGGCGTCAAATAATTCTGGTGCCATCCAATGCGGTGTGCCAATGACGGTAGATCTCTTGTCAACCTTTGTTTCCATGGTTCCAGCAACACCAAAGTCGCAAAGTTGAACTGCACCTTCTTCAGTAATAAGAACATTGGCACACTTGATATCTCGATGTATGATGCCAGCCTCGTGTACCCATTTGATAGCCTCGGCGACCTCGCGAAGTATCGGTATGATCCATTTTTCTTGTAAACCTCCAGGAGCAGTAGGCTTCATAAGAGTAGCAACACTTCCTCCACCACAGTATTCAGTAATCATCCACATGGCTTGTCCAACTGGTAATGCTTCGATGACGTGATTGATATTCCGAGCTTTGTTTTCACTCAGAGTCTTTAGAGCGGTAATTTCTTTCAAGAATTCGGCATAAGAATTGGCATTCTTTGGGTTTATCGTATCGCTCTCCTCAATGTCGATGATCTTCACAGCCACAATAGCAGCTGATACCATGTCCTTTCTATTCGGTGTATTAGCATATTGATCAAGCAACCAGGAACGAAAAAATATCATACCCTTTATAAACACGTCCAAAACTTCCCTTTCCGATTAATTCTATCAACGCATATTTTGGTGGTTCCTTTCCTGATTTAGTTGCTGCTTCAATAACTGAAGCTTGCATGAGCCGTGCATCCTCGATAGCTTTTGTCTTGACCGAAACTGGTTCGGAGTTTCTGACTTGGAGCTTGTCCATTTCGGCAAAATGGGCTCCTAAAGCTACGAGGCTAACGTCTAAAAAAGAAAGCTGCGAAGGAGGTATATTTGGATTTCCAGGTGCAACGTTCGTTCCTGGAACTGGAAGACGAGATGCAGAAGAGTTTCCTTGTCTGTCTGCAGATATTTGGGAGCTATTACGTAGGATAAAAGCCGATTTTTTTCTTACGACTGATGTCTTTGGCAAATCGCGTGGTGTAGGAGTTGTTTGACGGGAAGAGGAGGAGATCTGTCCAGGACGCGAGTTTGTAAGCGGTTCTTGGGTGGCGGATGAATTGTCTCGCGACCAGTTCTGCGGGGGTTTCAATGCAGAAAGAGGCGATTGAGCTCTATAGCTTTGTGACGAAGGAGGCGGTGTTTGGAACTCTTTCTGAAGACTTCTAGGTTGAGATATCTGGGAGCGATAAGCCACTTGAATTGCTTGAGCTGTCGAATCTTGTTTGGGAGCGTTGATAGGCGAATTGAAACCAAAGTTACTGGCGCCTCTGGAAACTGGAGAGCCGGTGGAGATGTTGCGATCACTTTGAAGTCTATCCACGCGCAATTTATCGTGTTCAACAGAGTCAGAGGTAGCGAGAGTGTGCAATTTCTTGACAGGATTGATTGAAGCAGGAGCTCGCAGTTGTCTGAAAGTACCAAATGTTGAAAGATTAGAAGTGGTAACGTCGGAAATATAGTCTGGACGACGATTAAGTGATAAACGCGGAATAGGGAGTTCAGACTCTGCAGCTTGAACTTCTTCTGATCTCGGTTCTTGACGAAGATTACCGTCTGGATAGCGCGTCGCGCAAAGGGTTACAAATTCTTGCTCTTCAAGACTGTTTCGATCTCTGCCACTCAAGAGCAAGTATCTGAGACGAGCGGTACCGACTGGATTATGATCTGGTCGACGAAGCGTGAGCGAACGCTCAAAATTGGCTTGATTTTCTGCTTCCTTCTCTGACTTTCTCTTTTGATCCTCTTCAGATTGAGCTGTATGAGCTAAAGATTCTTGAAGAGCTTTACGAGCTTCCCTTCGCTCTTCCCTGCGTGCTTGTGCCCGCTCGAGGTTAGCAGCAGCTTGAGCGTCGTCTGTAAATGTGAGATCTTGAGAAAATATCTCAGGCCTTGAGCTTTGGAAGTAAGCACGATAAGTATCCTCCAGATCACTATCTTCGGCAGCGTTTTCAGCGAGCGTATCAGAATTGATCCACTTGTCGGATTCTTCCCTAAAATATTGCCTACTAATAGAAGAAGTCGATGAGACACGTCGTGAATGACGATTTAGTACCGGCTCAGCTTGTTGAGGGGTAGTGAATTGTTTGCTTGAGCCTCGGGTAGTTTCACTAGATTTCAGTGTTTCTGTAGTTTTTGAAATGTGAGGACTGCGTGTGGACGAATTTTGACTCTTGAACCCAAAAGAACCGCGAGATTCGCGCAGTTCAGAAGCACCGCCGAAATGATTATTTCGTAAAGAGGGGCCGGTGGTTGTTTGTGGGGGTTGTTGTAAAGTTCTCGCTGTCGGAAGTAAATTCTCTGGTTCTTGCGTTGAGGATTCGCCTGAGTAACCGCGAGAAAGCAAATAAGTTGGCTCTTGGAATTTAGGTTTCTTCGCACCTTCCGAAGCTGTGAATTCTTTTCTTTGAAATTTTGGTAAATTTGAGCCACGTTCTTCTTGAGTAACCGGCGGTGCGTTCGTAGTCACGTGAGAAGAAGTATTTGCACCGTGTGTCGCGTCGTCCGTTGTACTACTTCCGCTGCTGGAGTTTCTTGTACTATGGAATCCAGCTGCAAGTGGAGAGTTATCAAAATCTCGTAGTGCAGCTTCATGTGCTAGCAAGACCGCTTTGTTGGCTCGCACCGATGCTTCAATTTCCCTCTGCCTACGCTTTTCCGCAGCCTCGTCCGACTCGGTAGCAAGGAATTCAGGTGTTGGTTCAGTATAACTGTACTCGTAATCAATGTTTTGCAAAGGGGTAAGAGCCTCGCAGTATGGTTTTGAGGTTGACTTTTCACCGTCGGCCTTTGGTGTATCCTCACTCTCAGACCTTGAATCCGAAGTATAGCCGCTGCTTGTGCTTGTTACAAGATCGGGGTTGTGCTCCTCCTGTGGCGTAACCTGATCAGGAGTAATTGACAATGCACCCGTCTCAGTATGATCTTCTTGTTCCTCCCTTAACGCGTGATTGAAACCTGGTGTGTTGTACCCGCAACGATGATAATCGAGGGGAGCAATGTATTGACCGGCAATTAAACCCAAGGGATCATAAACCCAATCTTCACCTGGATCCTCCTATGAACAGATAAAGTCAGTAATTGTTGAGCTGTTAACCTGTTGTACTGGGCCCCTTTGAGCATGCAAGATGATTCCCAGACAATGGATAGTGCGTGCAGGGAGCCAGAAGGATTGATTTGAAGGGTAAATCAACAAGGGCTTGAATTCTCAAAGAATCGAACGAAAACTTACAAAAGATGTAACAACGTTATCAAGAATTCCTTCCTCCTCAGTTGCTCCTGCTAACTTTTCTAACGATTTGAACAGGTTAGAGATTCTGGATCTTAACTTGGACTGTGGCTTCGCTGTGGATTCGCCAGGATCATCCTGATTCTGCAAGTGAGACATTGTTAGTCAGCAGCGGCGGCTATATTTTAGTTTCATCTGCAAACATCAACGTCAAACTTACCTTGAGATCACCATATTTCTTGCGATGTTCTTGTTTCTTCTTCTTCAAGAACTCCATCTTCTCCTCATGCGCCTCGGTCAGTTGCTTTAACTCAATGCGATATTTCGCAAATGGTGATTGATTATGTGCAATGAAATCGTGTGAATTCGACGCATTTAACGTATTATTGACAGGAAGCAAATTTGGCTGAGATAACTTTCTCAATGGTGACTTGGTGGGAATTGGCGGCGCCGGCGTATTCGAAGCAAGTAGGAAATTTGTGATTGTATCATAAGAGGCAGGACGAAATTCGGGAGTTGAGCTAGCGTGTTTAAGGAAATTCTTCACACGCGAATTTCGAACACCCAAGATTTCCTTCTTTACGCTATCTTCTCTAAGAGCTTTGGATGTATCGTCTAATGTTTCTGAAATATCGGAATGGACTTGAACAATGTTTCTAGAGCTTTCAATTGCCCGGGTACCACCTCTCTGTGAGATGGTACAATTGCCTTGCGGTGCAACACCTTTCTCTCTGAGGTCCGGATTTCCTTCTTCTCTCAAACCGGCAATAAGCATCGCTTGGAGCTCATCTTCAGTATGAATACCCGATCTTTTGGATTTTTCCCCCGAGTTATTTCCAGCCGAGCTCCATGATTTTGTTAGATCAACCTGTGGCTCTGATGGTTGATTATGATCAGCAACAGTTCCAGTCAAGGCGACATTGCGAATAGTCTCGTCGCTGGCTATCTCTGTAATGTCTGACGTATCATAATCTGTTTCTGGAATGGTAAATTGTGTAACGGACTCATTAAATGTTACCGATTGCTTTCGATGTGGCCTTCTAGAGGAGCTGAGATTGCTTCGGTGACGAGTTTTGTACGGCAAGACCTCTGTTGATGAGCACGGTGTAGTTTGCCCCGTCAAATTCTCCAATGAAGTTTGGGCGCTATCATTCAGTTGATGGGGATTCTGCGTAAATTCCCCCAAATGATCGTTCTGTATGTACGCCTGCGTCTGTTTCGCTGGTAGAATTTCTGGGGGAACCTTCTCAATAAGAGTGGGAGGTTCATTAACGCCAATGGGCATCAATTCAGATCTGTTCCTCCTGGTTTGCTTTGAAAGCGCAGGCTCAATGAGCGCTCGACGGGCTATTGGGGGCGCTCGGCCAATCTTTGGATCATTCACCTGTGCCCTGCCTTCTAGCCGTAGTCTCTGTTCGGTTGCCTTTCTAAGCTCATGCTGGAATTGCGCCTGTTCGACGTGCTTGTCACGTTCCTCTTGTGTTATTGTGAGGACCTGAAACTCGCCGCCCAAGCATGCCCCCGTCTTGTCCAGCTCAATTTTTGCATCCAGCTTCCTTGCCGGCGCGATTGGTGGAACATACCTCTCTGGTGCTGGTGTGGGCTGATCGGTTCTATAACGGAGTTTCGGAGTTGCAACTGGTTGACTTCGATCGATTGGTTTGTTGACATTTTTCTTCTTAGGTTTGAACAGTCTTCTGATCTTGGCCTTCAAGGGATCCTTATTTCTGATCTTGTTGTTTAAACCTTTGGGAAGGTACGCGAAATTTGGATCGGCTTTTTTGTTTTCTTTCCGCGCTGCTTTCACTGCTTTTTTTCGTGCTGCCTTTTCCTCTCGGGTTGGCCCAGGAGAACCTTCGATTGCGGTACCAGAGACTGAGGAAGATCCAAATGAAACGGCTGTGGACGCTTTCGAGCGCGTTGACTTCAAAGAAAGCGCTTTGATTGTTGAAGCAATCGTAGTTGTTGACGAATTCGCCTCAGAAATATTTTCGATTCTATCTTCATTTGTCTCTTTGTTTGAAGCCCTCGATCTTGGGTTCAAAGGGCTGGCTCCAAAAGCACCTCTTCCGTAGCCAGAGTGCCTTATTTGAGAGCGTTTTGCAAGTGAAGATTTCCGTTCAATTGGTCTCCGAGGCGCCATTGGCGCGGTCGCCTTAGCAGGATAGACTTTGAGATTTTCGCAGGTATATGGTAAGTGATTGACGTTTCGGCAGAGAGTCTAAAGCTGGGGAGCTGAGATGAAATTCGGTATGAGAGGAAAGGCTATCTTGCGTGGGTAGATGATTGACTGGCTCGGTATGGAAAGATATAGAACGATTGACCAAATGAAATTAGGACGAAAGCGATTAGTTGAGGAGATATCTGTACAGGATTGAAGTTCAATGTTGAAAGTACCCAGGGTCAATGCGACTTGTTACCCATATTTTCATCTTAGCCTGGGTCGAGTTCGGATGGTAGTAAACAATGGAAGTACCCGGCATCGAAATATTTTCCCTCCCTCAGTCCTCAAGCAGCCATCAATATTTTCACAAAACAATTTCCAACTTATCTCAAGTATCTTTTTATATACAAAGAATGAGTAGTTTTTGACCTTTCTTTTCCAATATTTCCTGGATGGATGGGACTTCTGGGGGTCAAGATATTTCCTTTTCTAGTTCCTCATGATCTGCTCATGGTCTACTCAGCCTTATGAAACTTGACTGCTCTTCTAGCAGAATGACCCGACCAAAAGCGAGTCTAGACTCTCCGCCTCAGGCATAGACAGACAGGGATCCGAGCAAGGTAATATATCGCACAATCAATATTCAATATTATTATTAAATTTGACTTTCTCGAGATGTTGATTGGGGTATTACCCGAGCAGAGTTTTCCAAGTGTTTCAAGAATAATAACAAAGACGTGATCTTGTTGCTTACCTAGCCTGCTGTAATATCTCTACTCCGAACTTGTAATTGTCAGTAGAAATCGAACAACAACTTTTTTGACAAACTTCTTTATACAAATCATCAACTCTGTCTATCTTGCCAGTAGCACTTATAAGTTAATACCTGTATTCTTTGAAGTCTTAACTTTTGTTCCAAGGAATGCTTGCTATCTAAGAAGTTACAAAGACCATACAGATCTGCGACAACAAGCTTGCAAAGTAGCCAAACCCAAGACCAAGACCGTTAGCTGTAAGTATTTCTTTTATTCTTCCATCATTCCCTTCTCCTTGACCTACTTATCAACTTTAAAGAGATTCTGTTCTCCTTGTTGTGGTTGAGTTGTAAGTCTGTCTAAGTTCTTCAACAGAAAGCTGATTGAGCTGCTTTGTTGTGCATTCACCTCAACCCTTTCCCTCACAAGATCCTTCTTCCCTATTTCTAGTTACCAGATGAGGAACCGTCTGTTGCCGTTGTCAGTGCCAGTCTTTTGCTGTCAACTGAAATACATCTGTTATCAGATTTGCTGTTGTTCTGATTCTTTATCTTCTCTCTTTCTGCTCAAGACACACTAAGCCTCACTCAACTTATATAACACTTACTGACTTTGAGAAGATTATCAATCAGAACACCCAGAGAGTCACGAAGAAGCAAAAAACCTTGAAAACCGCCAGTCTTTCATGCCAGTCGACCTTCCGCTGCTACTGCTGGCGATCTAGCAAACACAAAGCTTGGTAATTTCTTCCTTTAATCTTCAGCTAAATAACAGGCACTAACGCCGGCAAGTATATCCTAGGTCACTTTCCTCCTCATGGAACGATAATCTGTTGCTCATGACGATAGCCGCTGGCCGGTCATGCTTGTAAGACCTCAGATCGTGGTAAATATCCCTTCAAGTTATTTCTTATGGCAGCTGCTAATGCAACTCGCAGAAGCTTCTCCTATTCATTCAATCACTTCGATGTTCTTGCTGCCAGCCGCTGCATCGGTAAAGCTCGCAAGACATCACAATGTGGTACTTATTCCTATTTATGTTCCATCATTTTGCTAGCTTCTAACATGACTTACAGTAGCTCGTATGGTCAGAATGAGATTTGTGTTATGGTTGCGAGCTGCTGGTCAGTGAAGTTTGCAGAATACTGAAACTTGGTAAGTTCTTCCGTCACGTTGTGCCTTGTCGCAATTGCTAATGTCACTTACAGTTTTTTACCAATTTTTCACCTGACACGCGGACCACATCGATAAGGCTTCGGCTTATGGTCTGTCTGCTCTTGTCAAGACCTACCTTTCAGGTCCTCAGGACCCCGAACTTCGAAGACAATATCCTATCATGGACCTAGACAGCACCTGCAATCACAGTGCACGGTGTCCATGATGCATTCTTCGCTGTTTGTTATCGAAACTTCTCCTACCTTTGAAGTCTTCGATCTTCATCCTCTTGCTCTTCATAGCAAAGTCAGGTCTTTCAGGTCTACTTGCTGTTTGATGGACAAGGCTGAGATTTTACAAGTAGCAGTGGTCATCTCAATGACATTCCAGGAAGGGAAGAAGAACAAGTGCCGACGGCAAAACATTCACTACGTTGTCTCCACACTTCCAACACCTGCATACCAGCAGTACTCACCATCTTCCACGTTCTTCCCGTCTACAGGAATGTATACAGATTCATGTTACATCTTTCGTGTCTATAACTGCTTCCAACCTTGCAAAAGCATCGTGGCATACATGAGCAATCATGATGCTCTCAGGATCAACCGGCAAATCACAGATTCGTTACTGTTGGTCCTTGACCCCATCTCTGGAATGTCATGGCCGCTGCTCCTTCCTCTTCGCCGAGGAAGGAGATCAACAGCGTGCTCTCACTGAGATGCAGGGCGTATACTGTGGCAACAGACCGCTGCTCCTTCCTCTTCGCCGAGGAAGGAGATCAACAGCGTGCTCTCACTGAGATGCAGGGTGTGTACTGCGGCAACAGACCCATGCGCATTAGCACAGCAACACCCAAGAATAAGGTTGTTTCCTCTTTCTTTCCAGCAACTGGTCCATGTCTGACCTTGCTGGGTGGGTATCACCACACTCAATGGTCATTATTTGGGTGATCTGATGAAGCATTTACTCTGCGGAGTCGGCAAGCAGCATCAACCAAATGCAGGGGTATGCTGCTTGCCGCTCCAACTGCTCCAACTAAGTGGAGAAAACTCTCCTCTTTCCAGCAACTGGGCCACGCTATTGAAATGGCTATTAACCAAATGCATGGTTGTTCTGTCCGGGCCTCTCCAGCCTAGCAACCTGCGATGCTATCAGTCCCCAGTCAAGGACGACCGTTTCCGAATACCTTTTCAAACGGGCTGCTGTGTCATGGTTCCAGGCACAGCGGAGAGAGCTGGGCAACTTGTTACAAGACAAGGGCAGGGGATTGCCTCCCTTGTCTTCCAACAGCAGCAAGCCTAAGTTGTTCCTGCTTCTGCTTTTGCTTTCGTCTTGTGGCTTCATGCCAATAGTAAACTTCAGGAGGGACGGGGAGATATACACTCCACCATAAGTGTGTGTCTCCCGCAGAGGTGCTATGCACTCCTCCACATGTGTGTTCCCTCCTGGAGTCGACTATCAAGTCCACCTCGGATCCCCTTCGATTGTACTTATTGCAATGGTCATCACCACGCTACTCGGAGATCGGCGATTACTTGGTATGACTGCGGTCCGAAATGACGTTAAACTATATTTGTGTTGGAGTCATTTGTTCTGGGGACGATCCCAAAACAACTCGGGACCATCTTTTCCCTGCCGTAGCCACAAGCATAAAGATAGTAAAGATATTAACAAAGCATGGTTTCTGTGGTGTCTGCTCTAAAGATGAGCTGCAACGTCAAGATGATTCGCGACAAGACCGTCGGTCGAGTCTCGCCGGAATGGAACGAACTAGCCGCCACTTGCCAACAATCAGATAGGCCTTTACCCTTTACATCTCCAAAGCGGCGCAAACTTAGCCAGACAACTCTCGCCTAGGCGCAGATGGCAAAGGGTGAAGGCAAAGAAGTTCTGACGAGGACAAGTAAGTATCACAATCCCTTCTCGTGTTGCAATTTATTGATTTAGATAGGGCCGAGCATTTTTCACTGAGCCTCGCTGTCGATTGAGGACTCCAAAAAAGCAATTAGCACGGTCAATGCCACACCAACTACGCCCAGAAAATGTCGTTAAACAACTCAGCGGTATGTCCAATTTTCCGCATAACTCATCACAAAACTCGCATTTGATTGTTAAAAAACGGACAAAGTTCTAACATTGCCACAAGTAGAAATCTTGCTTATGAACAGAGAGAAACGAGCAAATTCGGATGAGGAAGAACGAGAAGGAGCTGGATATGACTTCAACGGGCCAGAACTATAGCTACATGACGAATATTGATCGTGTCAATACTTATCAGGTGGCTGTTGATCTGGGTCGTTGAAATCGTACCCAGATTCTTCTCGCTCTTCCTCGTTGGAATATGCTTGTTTTCCTGTGTATAAAACAGTTCGTGAATTGGTTTGGACGATAGATGGCTTCTTATTCTTTGTGTCATTTGTTGAGAAAAGAGATATGATGACAAACCTAAATCCGCGGTTCCTTACCAAAGCATCGCACAAAGAAAGCGAGCTTCTTGGCGTTGAGAAACAAGAAAGCGTGGAAAAGTCAAACTTCAAGAATGCCAAAGGTCAAGGCGGAATGCATAATATGCGGAGGATCTTGTCTCTTTAGGTAGCTTTCTATAGTAATACACATTGTTTCCTCTAGCCGCCCTCGGGCGTGCACCTTTCGACGTGATTTTGTGAGTGAAGTCATATCTTGAGGTTGATAAGCGGGCGCTATCTCTGCTGTGTGAAGGGGATTGAGTTGGTACGTTATTGTTCCTGCTATTCCCGATATCTTTGAAGTGGTTGCTAACATCTTCGGAACAGTCGTTCGCAAGGGACTTGGAGGGAGAAGAATCTGTAGTTGGTGGATTGGAGTGTTGGGAGCGCTGTCGAGCAGCACTGTCTCTGATTTGGTATCATACAAGGCAGATTTTGAGAGAGGCATGAACTTCCTGTGCAATTGGGAGGTCTCCATACTGTACTAATGTGAAAACCAGTCAATTTTCATGATTTTCTCAAAAGTCCACCCAAGCAGCCAGCAAATCATCAAAGAGACAGTCGACGCCAATCAAGATAACTCGCCGTATCAGCTCATTCTAGTCCAAAGAAGCGCCTACAGCGCTGGATACCAACACCAGCAACAAGCATCTGCTGGCCAGATCACCAATGATGGCGTCAATAACCAAGCACCTTAGGCTTAATCAACCATTCCTTCCCGCGGATTTTCAAGGGACGTCGAGAGCGCACCGGACTCGACAGATACTTCAAGTTCTGTCAATCGTTTAATCTCAGTCTTGAACAGACTGCGTCGCGCGTAGTCTTTCTCAGTGGCTCGTCCGTCTCTCGCTGATACTCATCAGTATCCCGCACAGCAACGAAAACCAAGATGATCTGATCGAGTTTTGAGAAACCCATCCTTCTCACTCTCAAAAGCAGCTTGTCACAGAGTGTTTGGAGAGAACCAGATTTTATCTTTTGCGGCCTCTACTCTAAGTAGAGCTTTACTGAACGGTACGAACAAAAATCTGGTCTGCGTACTCTTTCCAGCAAGTGGGCCAAGATCATGACGGACCCATGTGTCTGCTCTCCTTTCTCCTCGGTTGAGCGATCAGTCGGTGGTGTCTTCGACTGCATTGCAACGATAATCTATTTGGTTCAGTTACTAAGTTTGTCTAAAGTCACAACTGACCATGTCGCAACTTTTGCTGTTACTAATAAGAGCTTTCCCGCTCTAAAAGGGAATCGCAACGGGACCGAGATGTCGTAAAACTAGATCATACCACGGCGAACTGCAAGTCCCTCTCTGATCAATTGGGCAAATTTGGATTGACGAAAGTTGACGCGGTATTACCAAACAAATCTCAGATCCACTACTGGCGAGGTGCCATATGTTTCTTGCTCTGCTGGTCGGGCAGAATCATAGAGGATCTGGTGGTGGATTCTTGAGAATGCTGGTGCCAAGTCAAAGCAGAACGTGCGACCAAATCAAACCTGACTTCTGGCCCGAGCAGAACCTCCAAATGGATACACGTTCATTACTCCAAGGAGTGTTCCAGGAAGCGGACACGGTAGCGATCAAATCAACCAATCTTTCGGGAATTCTTATTCTCACAGCAGAACACTGTCAGATGTAGAAAACTCAAGGAAAAAGAAAGAACGGCGATGACAGCAGTAGGACTTGTCTGCGTTGCAAGTCCTACTACTGTCATCGTCATTCTTTCTTTTTCCTTGGATTTTCTCCGTCTGATTGTTCTCCACACACAGAATATCGAATCAGTTTGTTTTTTGGCCCTAACACCAGCCTATTACTCGGTTTCGCAAAGTAAGATAGATACGCCCATGCAAAATCCTAGGGGAGATGTCTTCCACCTCACCGCAAAGTCAATACAGTTGGACTGCTATCGACCGTCCCAAGCATGATAGTAAACCGCCGAGTTCTTTTTCCCTCAAGTTCAAACACTCCAGCTTCGCAGCTATTCTAAATAACATCCCATTCCCTTTCTTATCATCTTGGCTCCTCAATAAGCACTGGTATTGAATCCCTTTCTTCTCGAGTTCCCCAGAACTGGAGATCTGCTGCGGTTACGAGTACGACCTGGCTTGAAGTTATCTCTTCAACAACCAAGCACCTTATGCCTAATCGGCTCTTCTTCTCGGGACCTGACTCCCTGAGAGAGCCTCGCGTCAGGCTAAGGCAGCTTTGTCGAAGATCTGTGAAGATAATCGAAAAATCTCCGGCCTCCGAGTCCTGTAACGAGAGATATTACTACGTTCAATCCGCCCACACAAGGCGAGACACGCCACTCGATCGAAAAAGGGCTTCAAGAAACCAAAATGCGTTCCTGTCGGGAGTGGAGTACTTTTATGAGTCTTCACATGACTCTTCCTCAGCGGCTCGCAAGAAAAAATGGTTGGCCACCATCGCGGTGGCGACTTCCCATCCATTCAGCATGCGATTGGTAAATCATGAGTTTGAAGCATGCGTTCCCGAATATCTTTTCAAATATGTGGTGGTGCTTTCGTGGAGTTGTGCTTAAGAACCCCGGTCGCACTGCTCCTTAAGCCTTCCATAGGTGTATTCAAATCTCATCCTTCTGGACGCGTCAATTAAAAGAGCATGTTAAGAATACCGATACGTGAAAATAGGAGGGGGCCCATCTGTTCTCGACCACAACAAGTTTGGTCTTGCTCCCTGGGAGGGCTTCCAGGGCTTTGGGGAGATCATGGTGGTGTGGTGTCCGGGGACTATGCATGATAGGAGTGGAAGCCGGGGGCGGGGGCTTGGAACAGGGGTTGATTTGTGCAGAGGTGGTGATAGTTTTGCTGTTATTTGTGGATGAAGAGTGGTATTTCTTTAGCTCCTGACAATGGAGTTGTTGTTGACTTGGCATTTGATAATGGCAGGATGGTGTGAATATGTAAATAGAGGCCTCAAAGTCGTTTTCTAATTAGAAAAACAGAAAGTCGAACAACTGAAAAAAACCCCATCTGTGAAGTTATGCTGGTGAAGAAAATACAATTCGTCTGAAATAGTCCATGGTAATGACCTACTCAGGTGATTCTAGAGACCCATGAATCTGTAACTGCATACGGAATCTTGGAGCTATCATTCGTTTGTCTCAAATCAGAAGTTTAATTGACATAAAGTCTAAATCTGCGTTGGAGATGATTTAAACTTGACATTTCTGGCAGTACACCGAGCTGACGAAGTTCCAAATAATGGTGATATCTTCCTCCTCCTCGCGGTTTAAAGATTTTGAGTTGAAAACAGCGATGTTGAATGCTTCTTGATCTCCTTTGACGGGAAAACCAGAGGACATCTTGTTAGAGAAGTATTTGCGAATAAACAGAAACAACATATTCGCTCCGAGATCGCAGCCTACAATTTTCGGATTAGGAAGGGCTCCAAGCTCTGAAGTCGACGTCGTAAAGCGCAAGCTCAGCTTGCGGATATGAGAATATTGCCAAGAGAATAAGCGATCCACAAAATCTGCTGGGAGGAGGAACATGGATTTCGCTATCGGAGTGAATGTGATCTCGAAAAAAATATACTTAGAGGAATGGAAATTAGCGACTGAAGATGCGGGGTCAGAGAAACCCAAAGATTTTGATCAGGAAGGGGACTCGGAATAGAACGGATGACGATACCCTTAGGCTATATCTAAACGCAGAATGTGAGATAAGGTGAGGAATCCATCATGACAGCAACTCTGCATGAGAGAAGATGCGGAGGAGTAACTTGAGGGAGAGAAAAGAGAAGCAGAGTTGAGCTATCACGAAAGCAAGAGGATCGAAGCATGAAATAGAGAGGCTGGAATAAAATTGAGAAGTGTAGATAGAGTAATATCAAACAAGAAACTTTCAGAGAAAAGAAAAGAAAAGAACGTATATTCGAAGCGGGGTAATCTGAGGAATTGTAAGAAGGAAGATGGCAGTGGAATAGAGCCAAGACGCTAGAGGTGAAGAAGTAAGAAGTTGTTATTGTTGACGAGAGACATATGCTAGATGGGAAGGTAAGGTAGTGAAAGGATCGGTTAGGGGAAGTTGAAAATGGAAGAATTGATGGTGTTGAAAAATAATAAAGACGAGCTAGAACAAAAATAACATTCATCTATTTACTACTAAAAAGAAACATAACAGCTGAAATGAAAAGAAAAATAGCAAAACCAAAACCATAGAATCTAAAGACACAAGAGACACGCCAACCCCTCAACTTTGAGCAAACATGAGGAGAGCGAGCGAGTCGCTAGTATGAAAGGAGTAGTGGATTCTTTCCTATCGGGGGAGAATATATTAGATACTTAGTGCGACGGATGGTAAAAACAAGCGGGGTGAAGGTAGTAATACTGAATAGTAGAGAGAGAGAAAACTTACTTACTTATTTATTAAAGAAGAATAATAAACGAAGAATAATAAGTAAAAAAGAAAAAATAATAATATATAAAAAACAATAAGATATATATTCCTCCTCAAAGATAAATATAAGATCTTTCAAAATCAAGAGGAAAATATACAAACAAACAAGTAAGAGCGGGGCTGAATTTTAGACCTTCTAGAAAAGAAAGAAATCAAACGATAAGATTACGAATTCAAATAAAAACAATAATGTGTGGACAAGGGAATTCACTCAAAGGAATTCACTTCAAAGGAATGACTTCCATACAATGGCAACTGTATTAAAGGTATTAGGCGAAAGCGAAGGAGACTAGCTCTTTCAGTAGTGCCTATATAAGGCCTACTATTTCCCTCATTTAGCTAGCTCCTTAGATTGAATACAAATAGACATTTAGGGGCCTACACATAGTGGGAACCACGTCTTCCGTATCTCTCTCAAACCAACAAATAATATAATGTTATATTATATCATCAGATAGAATCTATATATTTTAAATCGAATACTTTAAACTATATATCCCAGAATATTAAGAAAACAAAACAAGTAAACTAAACATTAAGAACTAAATATAAAGTATAAGATAAAACAAAACAAATCAAAACAATCAAAAAACCTTAACACTTTATCTAGAAAAAAAACCACATACTTAATAACAAACCCTACTAAATCCAACAGAAAATAATCAAAAACCTAAAAACATAAAAACATAAAAGTATAATAAAATATAACAATTACCCACCTACTCAAATAAATACAATACACTAATTAAATAAAAAAAAGAAGAAATCCTTATCTAAATAATAAATAATATCCCTAGAATATTCAGAGGCATGGACTTGAACTTTTCCTTTCACTTTCTTTCACTTTCTTCCACTTGATCCACTAGATCCACTAGGTATCTATTCAAAGAAAAATACATCAAGTCGAGTTGATTAATCTCCGCTAGAACGATACTTATTTACGAAACTAGAGCTATACACTACTCGTATATTACATAAAACATAAAACATTTCCATCGACCTACCTAGGTACCTAGTTATTCATCCATCTATATTATTTCCACTAGAGAATCACATATCATATATCTATCTCTATCTCAACTGAATAATCTCCCATTTGATGGACTTGTGACCGAATCGATCTAGTAGATAAACATTATGTATGTAGGTATGTATCAATTAATTACCAATCTTGATCAAGACCTCCGAAAAGCTGATCAAACCCAAACCCGAGAACTCAGCTGTTAAACGATATCGATAATCTCTCAATGTCACTCCCAAACTTCCTCCATTAGATGTCCCTAGTTCTCGCAAAATTTCAAGCTTACCCTACCTATCAAGTAACCCATACCAAATTTCACCCTTGAATATTATACATCCTAATCCGCGCCAGTCAAAATATAATACATAGCCCTTGAGAGCTCACCAACAACTTTTTAACCAATACTACTCAAAGTAAATTGGCATCCTTTTAAAAATCCTTTACACCATCCATGTGAGATAAACCAGCCCCCAAGAGCACCAATATAAACAACACGTCAAATATTAAAAGACTTGCAAATTATTATTCTCGTCCCTAGTCAACTCATAATTCCAGACAATATGATCATAACCCTGCATGATGAGTCTCCAGCGTTTTGGATTCTCTCCAGCGTTCAATTCAATCCCGTGACCATTCTGAATCGGAGACACGGCCAATCCAAGGAGTGGAGCATTGGACCCTTGATAGCCGCTGTAAATATTGGTATCCTCAGTGCCAGGTGGAAGAAGACATTCGATACGAAAGGTTGGAATGGGATCCGTATTGGAATCGACTTGCACTTTCGACAGCGTCAGAAGAGCTGCTCGACCAATTTGAGAAGCAACAATAACAAGCGATAGTTCCGGTATTAACGCCATCATATTGATTCGAGTAATATTATTGAAAGTCTCGTTGAAAATAGTCGGCGTTTGATGACCTTCAAAGCAATTCGTACATATAGTTGCAGGAATACGTATCGAAGAAGGCACGAGTTCAATGCTGTCCATCCAAGTTCGAAGGACGACAACTTCATCACTTGTGTGAGCTGTAGGATCAATGTGACAAATTGCCATATCGCTTATATGTTTCATAAAGTTACTGGGTTGTGCAGATCGTATCGATTGCGTAGTGGGATACATGTGTCGAATCAACCCCCCTAATTGACCTGGTGGCGAGTCGCTGATCATCGATTCGTAGCCTGTGTCATCTTCCGAGTTCAAAACCGCTTCACCATTTTGCAAAATTGGGTTAGATATCTCCAAGCGCTTCATTCTTTGAGCAAGATTCAGACAAACCCTATAGCCAAGCAAATTCTGTACGGACTCAAACCAAACACTATTTAAATCCTCTTCACCCAAAGCATCTTCAAAACTTTGAAAGTGCTTGAAATATCGCAGTGGTATAGGCATGATTCCCCAGCCCCTAATAAGTTTGTTAGAAACCATACTTGATAAGGGAAGATTGTAACAATACAGACTAGCAGACTAAATGTGGGCTTTCCATGTTCAAGAAATTCAACCTTCGAACTGAATACAGTGTTTCAAATGATATGAATCTCTTAAATAATATGAAATCCAACTGAGTTGACAGGAAGAGTCTCACAGTGCCCGCCTACAGTCCGAGCTATTGAAACGCTTGAAACTGCATAGAAGTACTTACATTTGAGTTAATCTGGGTCCCGGATCAGGGGCAAGAGGTAAGCCGATCAATTTAGAGTTCTCCTCCCATATTTCTAACTGCCACAGGCTGCCCAGAATATCAGTAGCTATAATCGATTTAGCCAAGCCAGTTTCGTCGACATCGTTAAATGCAATAGCAGGAATGTTGTGACTAGGTCCGGCTGGCTTAAGTATGATTCTAAAATTACGGGGACATGGTGTTCCTGGTAGATATGGGCCTTGTTTTACGGAGCGCCCATCATGTCTTTCAAGCTGTTTAGAATATCTCAAGGGAAATGAAGTGTTTGTAAAAGGTCCATTCGTCTTGTAACCGAAACCTTTGGAACAACAGTCCTGAGGAAAGCCTCTTTGGGACTTAGCCTTAACTCCAAATGTCAGGGGGTCGGTGGCAACATCGTATGTGGAACCCATCACAGCGCAATCGCAAGGCTCACTACTAGATGTGCCGTGAACAAAAACAGTGACTTCTTGTTTATTAGAGCTTACTGCAATCAGGCGCGATTTTTGATGAATAGCAATACCCCAAGCACTTATCCCGACATTCTCGAGAAAAAATCTGAAATGAGTAAGAAACAGATTAACATAGACATTGAATTTAATACTCACGGTTGCGTGCTACCGATTGGAATTGACGAAGCTGTACTTTCAACCGTTTGTTGAAGCTCTTTTGCTAGAAGGTCCGTATAATATGCCGTTACATCCCCATCATCGCAACAAAACAACAATATCTCTTTGTTGCCCAGATTGCCAATAATCATATTGTTAACACAATGTGGGCGAGATTGGTAAACGTATCCAGAACCTGCATCCCTCGACTTTGGTAATCGAAGAACCATGTCTGGTAAACCGGGCAGAATTTGTTTGAGTGTCCGAGGCCTTGTGATGTGTATCGTATCCAGATATGCCACAAAGTACATCTGTAGTTAGATGAGCATCAGGAATTCAGTAGATATCCAGTAAACGTACATTATACTTTTGCGACAAGGCCACTAAATTCATTCTCCAAGTTGCTGGCCGAGGCATACCTTCTAAAGAAGTCGTCTTAGCATCGCTCGGGAGTTTGTGGATAGCGGTCTGAATATCATCAAGGGACTTGCTATCAAGACCACTCGAAGAGAACTATAACTGGTAAGTATGATATAAAGCAGTTATTTGACTGACCTGCAAAGACGTGACAAAAGTAGCATCTTTCCCATTGAGATGTAGTTTTTATTGATTGTCTCACTACACTGAAATGACCATACGACTGAACTTGAGCTTCAACCCCCATGGAGTATCATGATACTATGCGCAAGTCATCACAGCAGCAAAAAGACTTCATAAAGTCAAAAGTCTCGCATTATCGGACGGCAATCCGGAGACACATTGATAGGACTGATCACGTACTCTTTCTTTTGGTGTCTGAACATCATAACTTGTAATAACAAGAGAACTTGTCAATTCGTGTTCCTCCATCATTCCCAGAATATTTTTCCAACAAAGTCATTGATTTGTTGAAATATTAACGGCATTGATAAATATAAGATGCAGATGATTGACGATTGATGATCAATTCTTCGTGATGTAATAATGATGATGAGAAATGTGGTTTGATTAGTTGATACGAGAAAAGCTTAAGCACGGATCATAAGGCTAAACTTTAATCTGCAAGGCTAATATGCAAGGCTATTATGCAAGGCTACTTTCAAGAATGAGGGGCAACTTCTAAGCCACTCACATCACACCTCTCCCTGAGTGGGCACCGGCCCCGATCACAGGTATTCAAGACTTCCAGCTTTTTGCTTGATATCACATCGACCATCTCTACTACCAAGTCAGGAAAACATAATAGGCATCATTAATTACTTTTATTTTATTTTCGTTTCGTATCATTTTGTTCTGTTCTCCATCCCAATGTCGTGCCCAGCCCAGCCCAATCCCATGCAATCCACGCCCCAAACTATATTACAAGCCAGCCAGCATAACTCATAAACCATGCTTCACCCGTTGATCCCAAATGAAAACTCCCCCTTTATTTCTTGACATCCTTCTCAACCTTTCCCTTCAACTTCTCCGCTTCCGCAACCTTCTTCTCAACAACCTTACTAATATCGTCATAAGCACTCTTTACCAAGCCCTCCAACTCATCCCCATGATCCTTTGCTACATCTTGCAAACGTTGTAATTTCTCCCACAACTTTTCTGATCCGGGGATTCCTGCCATCTTAGCAGCTTGTTGAGCATACTGTTGAACATTTTGTCCCAATCCACTGTTCTTTGCCTTCTCTCCTGCATCTTTGACATATTTCTGAAGATCATCTGTGTTTCCAGACTCAACAGCTCTCTTGACTTGATCGAAGATTTCCTTGACGTTACCAGACTTCAAGGCATCGGTGTTCTTCTCGACAATCTCCTTAACCTTAGGGTTCTTCTCCAAATACGGTTTCCACTCCTCCATTCCCTTATTCCAAGCTTGTTCTCCAAGCTTCTGAACCTTCTCGCTCTTCTCTTGGATCAATTTACGAACTTTTTCAATCGACCCGGCACCCAATCCTCCGGAGAGAATCTCAGAAACTTTCTTATAAGTGTCATCCAATTCTTTCTTGGCATCCGGTCCGTAATTCTCAGCCATACTCTTCAACTGATCCAAGTTGCTCCCTACCTGTTTCTTGATTTGTGGGTGATTATCCATAATGTCTCCTAGAGAGTCCTTCCCTAACTCAGCAATCTCGCCCAAAGCCTTTGTCAATACATTATAACTCTGCACCGCAGTTTGCATATCAAGTCCTCCTTTGTTACTGATATTCTTCAATTCAGAATAGGTTTTGTTGACAATCTCATCGACTTCCTTGCCATGTTTTTCTTGCACTTTCTCAATATCGTTAAATGCACTATCGAGGAATGATTGTGCACCAGGGATAAAGGCGGCATAAGAAGAAGTGGCATTGCGGAGCCATTTGATAGCTTGATTTGGTTCGGGAGCTTTTTCAGAAAGTGCTGAGGTAGCCTTTTGGAACTGAGATTTCGTAGAAGAGTAAGCGTTGACGACGGTTTTGGCACCGGAAAATTGGTAGTATGTATAGCATCCCTAGGTTATGGAGTTAGTATGGCGTTCAAAGGTAGGTTGATACTTATAGCAAAGAAAAACAAAATACTTACAACCAAAACCACGGCACCACCTGCAATACCCGCTGCAAAGCCCGAAGCACCACCTGCCTTTGCACCTTCAGCTTGTGTCGTCGAAACAAATCGAGTTTGTCTAGCTTGTTGTCTAATGGGTGCACGAATGGTGCGAGCCGCAGCTCTTGATGCTGTTCTTGAGGCGAGCATTATGTATGTATGTATCGTGCGTTGTGTTGTGTATTGTAGTTTGGGTAGGTATCTTATCACGAAGAATGGTATGTGTATAATGTGTATAGAGGGAGGAAACAACGACGTAGTAATTCAATTGATATGTAAAGTAAGGGCATTAAACTTTTCCAAGGGATGTATTTGTATATGGAGAGAAGAAGGAGAGAAACTTGACAGCTTCAATTCTTATATATATATCTACTCGGTATGTATTCCAATAATTCTGGATCGTCTAGCTCGACGTCAATACTTGGTACTGGAAAACTTGGTAGGATGCGATTCTTCAATGATTTTCCATCGAATTCCACCTTTTGCGTACATCAATCGTCACAAAGCGCTATGAGATTATGAGGGGAATGACGACACTGCCCAGACTGCCCTGTAAATCCCCCGCTTAAAAAGCTCCGGCGTCATATGTGGCGGTGCGAATTAATGGCTGGTGTCTTCCAAGGTACAGCCAGTTCCAATATGACAAAGAGAAACACGAAATCTTTGAAATATCGGGCTAGAACCTCCGGGAAGAAATGCATAATAGCAGAATAAAAATGTTGTGCAAAAAATGCATATGAATGAGTCAAAAATGTGAGGGGTCAAGTAAATAATGTGATTATTGTCGTCGACAGTATTGCTGTTGCTGTCGATATTGCGGGACAATTGAGTTTCCATAATCATACCTATTGGGTATCTTCTTGCATCCTCTGTGTGACTTTTATTATTAATCTGTGATTTCCAAGGTTGTCCAAGCAATAAAATTGAGGCTGAAAAATGATTATTTTTTTGGTATTTTGATCTGCACCAATGGTCTATAACAATGGTTGAGTTGCGTTTCTAATCGCGATTTTTAACTCCCATATAAATTCAAAGGTCCAACATATCCTCCTCGTTTCCTATACACTATCCATCATTTTTTTCCAATTCATAAAGCCACTTTCTCATTGAACGCATGCCATATCATATTTCGTATCATCCGATTGTATCATGTAAGTCGTTAAAACCCAAAACCACCGCCCTCCCATCCGTATCCATATCCATATCCGTGTATAATCATCATCCGCGAAACCGTCTATCGTAGGTGCCTCATCGTAGAAATTCGTAAATCCCTCTAGTTCTTGGAATATCTAACCACAGTCCAAGTAGCGATAGCCGCACTAGCCAACATCATAGCACCTCTTCCCAAATTCAACAATGCCCAACGATCAACCAGCTCGTGAGCAGTTCGAACATCCTCATCTTCATCGGATGCCTCCTTTCTCCTGCTGGAAGAACTCTTCTTGTAACTCCTATCGCTTCTCTCGCGGTCCTTGGATGATTTCTTGTGCTTGCGACCAGACCCAGATGAAAGATCATCCCAATCTCCTCCAGATTGATTGGCATAGCCGACTTGTGCTTCATCCACCTTTCCTAACAACTTTGAGTTTGTATACAACATGAACAAAACTGTATAAGGGATCATTCCAAGAGCCAACGCGCCGGCAGCACCAAACAACTTCATCTTAAGTTTATCGGTCTGTTTGTATGCGAGGAAGAGGAACGATCCTGTTGGAATCAACGAAGCGATTGGGAAGAACGCCTTTCCTTGTTGAAACATGTTGTTCCATTGTTTGAGTAAAAGGTGCGGTGGAGATTCGAGTATTCTCGGAACGGCAATGAAGGAAATGCTGAGGTTGGCACCAGCCAGAGCACCTGCAGCAGTGATTCCAACACACTGGGCCACACGAATAGGCAACTGAATATCCGTCATTTTTGGGAAAGACGCAAAGGTCGAAGGAGAGGAAGATTTGGACATGAAAGGCATGATGAGATGAATAGATAGATATCGAAATGAGGGGTAACAACGAATACACAAATATGAATGACAGATATGTACTGCAGGTTAGTTGAAAAGGCGGGAGGAGGTATAAATGGATATGTTTGATGTGGATGTGATGGAACGAGAGAGATCAAGTGGTTCGATAGGATTCGATGCAAGTTTAGGGTCAAATGCAAACTGCATAACACACAACTTGCTGGCGGTGAAGGGACGTGTCTTGAGCTTGGACCAGCTGAGTACCAACCTCAAGCCAACCAACCACTTTCATATATTACAATGTCGAGAATGCCTTATTTTGATCATTCGATGAGATTTGCGAGACCTGGTGGAGTAAATACATTGATAAGATCTTGATATGTAAAAGACCCCTCCACCGCGTCTTCCGATTATGAAGCAATGAAGATTTCTTTTCCAAGTTGGGTATCAATCGAATGGATATCGTCTTTACTCTATTGGTACAATACGATCTCAATATATCCGCCAAAGAGTTCGTTCCTTGCCTCACTTCAGCTCCCGAGGCATCTGTCCTCGCATCGGAGGTAAGATCTGGAGTACCTTACATACTGTACTTACATAAGCTCAACAGATATCCAACCCCTCTTTTCGTGTTGGGTACGAGGAAAAGAGTGACGCGTGATGCAACGGAGATCGAGTTGAATACTAGCTTCAAGGTAACTTTCCAAGCGTGTAATAACCATATATCCAAAGTTTTTGTCTTCAAAATTGCTCGAGTACCAGTTCTCGAGTACCCAACATGAGAAAATTCTGCTTTTCCGTATCAAAAGACCTCGGTATTGACAGCTATGCGGTCTTACATCACAGCCAGAAGTGCCCAACACAAGCAGGTAGTACGGACATGACTCGGATTTGGACAATTTGCATCCCTATAAATATCAAGAATAACACGTGAGCCACGATTCCGATGTTTGTTTCCTGCAAAACGTGACCGGATTTCGATCGGAGCTAAACATCACATAGTCAGTCATAAGGCTGCCCAAAAGAAGTATCAGTGGATCCAACATCTCCATCCTTACGATAGTAAGTGGAACGAACCTGACGCTTGTACGTCGAGACTTTCTCGGTTGTATCGAACCTGTATGACTCCTCTGAAACTTCCGACTTATGGGAACTGCACCATCCTCTCTGTATAAATAGGGCGTACAAACGGTGGGAACAAAATCAAGGAATTCCAGATGATTTGCGCTGTACTGCATTGCTGGCATGAAGTTTCAAGCCGCCGATCAATTTGAATGCAATGCTTGCCCCATGAATGACTGTCGTACCATATAATCGGTTTCTTGGGACGTTGGTCCCCATCAATAGCCGAGCAAGAGCCGGACATTGAGCCCCTGGTTTATGGGGTTGGAGGTGGGGTTGCCAATAACATCATTCTTTTGATGTTTGAAGTACTACGTAGAAAGAATGGTCATTCTACCTTGTGAATCGTCTCACCGTGTTCTTCTTCAAGTACCTAGACAGTATACTATAGTCGGAGTTTGCGGGGAATCAATCCTATTTGACAGCCGAAAATCCCTCGATTATTCAAGATCTTGAACACCTCATACTGAGTCATATATTACATCAATAGAATCTTCCATGTGTTGATATGATTGAGATATACGAGGAACTAGATTTTCATTGAAAGGCTGAACTCTTCTTCGCTTGTGAGACTGGAGCTTATATTCTGACTCCTTTTCCCGATGCATAATCTCATTAACCTCCCTTCAAACGTCCCAATACCGTCTACGCAGTAGGATATCTAATACGTTTTTCCATCTTACCACCTCGCGATTTCTGTGGCTTTAATATTGTTTACTGGCTCTTCACGACATCTATAATCAGCATCTTGAACACCCCCTTGTCCCTCCATTCCTCAACCATACCCTCTTCAATCTTCCATTCACGACTTCCCTTTCATTTTCGTAGCTTTACAATTCCATCTCCGTTTCTTCATACTCAATCCCCACCCATTCTATACCCATCCAAGGAAGTCCCTCTTGACTTCATAGTCCATAACCACTCCACACTTCACACTCCGCATTGCACTTGATTCTTTGATTACACTCTCAAGATCTTGTGATTATTTATATATGCTTGGATACGTATGCCCCTAACCCAGTCCAGTCCAGTCCAGTCCAATTCAATCCATAATCCCCAATCCACATCATCCAGACCACACACTCAAACGCCAACCCAATGCAACATATTCCCTCAACCCACAAACGCCACTCCGAGTTCACCATTCATCCAGCACTCCATCTCCATCTACCTCCTAAGCCTTAGTAGTGAAATCCGTCTCGGTAGGAAGTAATCCACCATCTGTGGCTTTCTCACAGGTGCATGCATCTATTTCCATCAGTACTCAAATTCACATATCATTCCATTCCTCGTTTAAAGAGGGAAGATGAGGAGAAACATACCAGCAGGTCTAGCACCACATGAACAGAGATCTCCAGAAGGAACCTTGTTTTCCTCAGCGGAACGCTCGCAGGTACAAGCTCCGGCTGCACGGGCACCTGAGGGATTGTTAGTTGTGATGCTGAGAAAATGTTTTCGAGAGGATAATACATACGGCAAGAACATCTGGCACCCTCGACCTTATTCTCACTCTCGGATTTAGCGCAGGTGCATTCAAGAGCTTTCTTTTCGCCGCAGGAACACTTTGCTTGGGTTGCTGGAGGAAATGTTAGTTGTGTGATTTGATTTATTGCATGTGATTTTTCACGAGATGTATTGTGAGGATGAATATCGTGATGGGGAAGGTGGGGAAGAGGTGAAGGGGAAAATGAGAGAGGAATAAAAATAGATAGATAGGAACATACCACAAACACAACCATTGCCAGCATTCTCGCCCTTCTTGCAACATGTTGATGGAGCCATTTTACTTGGAATTTTGTTTGATATTATTTATCGAAGTTCTGAAAGTTCAATGTTGTTGATTTCGAGATCGTTGAAGTGGAGCTTTTCGAGTTGTTTCTTGAGAGTATTTATCGACGAAAAGATGAAGCTTAACTGTGAAGTATTGAATTGATGTTGATAATGCAGTAATACAAGTCCTTTATATACTTTCACTCCCGTACTATAAAGTTGGCTACCTATTGATACTAGAAGCTACTAGGTATGTTGGACGTCAATTGATGACCATTGCTTACAATTACGCGAGCGTTTATTGGTCGGACAGGTCTTGTACTGAAATAGGTGGGGTTTGATTGGATGGATTTTGGAGGTTTGAACACTATGAACGAAGTTTCTTTTTTCGGGGAGATGATGGACAAATCAACGATTGGGTATTCGATAATGATTGAATTGAATGATTGAATTGCTGCAGACGTCAGTCCACGAAGCTTTGAAGCTCACGTGAAGCTCTCGAGTGTGTCATCACGTTCAGCAAGCTTTACTCCTGAATTACAAGGCAGAACTGGCGAATGTCCAACTACATCGTCAGTCTTTTAAATTTTATCCATTACAATGCAACTTTCTATCCTTTATCATCATTTTTTTCTCAAGTCGATCTCGATATTCATCTTATATGTTCTAATGATTCTTTATATATATTCATGAAGAAATGCACTCGCGAATTCTACCCACGACGCCAATGTGGCAAGTTTGCTATTACACGGCCTCTTTGGTCTCACCACATTCTTTCTCTGGCGGAATGCAGAGATATTACCTTGAGTATACCCTAAGCTGTGTCGAGCATCCAGGTGCTTCTTGTCGATCGCGTGGTGAGCATCATCGTCGTTGTGGATAAGGAGAACGGAAGCAAAGGAAAGCCTGCGTCGAAGAGCATGTTGCAAGGCTTAACACAAAGGCCATATAAAATGGCTACCTTGGATTCCAATATCGGTATTTCTACGATAACGATGGGTGTATTTCCCTGGCGCAGCAGTCCATATATCTTCAGCCCGGATCTGTTATATTAACCTATTGGTTGATTAGGCGAAAATATGCAACGATCCCAAACCGTGGATAATTGTTGTAATCCATGCTCCCGTTGACCATTCTGAAAGTACAGCTCAAACCTCTTTACTGCCTTATCAGGTAAAGACTGGTGCATCAACGTGTCAGCAGGTGATTCCTTGCCTGACCTCGTTCAGCTGGATTCTCAATGAAATGAAACTGCAAACACTTGTTAATCGTGTCGACAGTCTTGATTTTCGGTGACGGAAAAATCCTGAAGATTACTACAAAATCATTGCTAGAATGAATCCCGACGATAAACTTATCAAGCCCAATTTCAGACATCGCTTCGCAAGGAGCTTTAAGGAAAAATTCAGATCAAGTGATAAGAAGAAGCCTGAGCCATCACAGAAAAAAGTTCATACCCTTGCCAGCTCCACTGCTGCTACCAAAAAACAAGATCAGATTGACCGAAATGACACAACTGCAAACGAAGTTAGGCCGCCTAAATTGCAAGCTAAGCTCGACCTATGGCAAGAAGCATTGGACAAAGCCCAGCAGTCCGCAGACTGGAAAGCTCACAAAAGTGAATATGATGAAGCGATTCTGGAGTGTCAAGGCAACAACCAAAACATTTTGAATAAGAGTGGCACCGAAAACAAAAAATCCACGAGCTTAGCTGACGCCATATCCGAGCACTTGGTCTCACTCCAGGAGAAAGTTCTAGGAAGACAGTGGAAATACAAGGAAGGTTCAGGCCATGAAAGTTTTTATTTTCGAGATGTCATAAAACGCATCGTTCAATGGGTGAAAGTTTTCAAGGACCCCGGCAACCAGCTGGCTGCTCTCGATCCTACCAAAGCTGCAGCGTTAGTTTGGGGATTCGTGCAATTCTTCGTCGAAGTACGTATGATTGTCTATGTATCTTGCAATTATTAACTGACTCGGAACAGAGAGCTGTCGTATACAATGAAATCAGGGACATGGCAATTGATCAAGAGCCAATTGCGAATTTGATAACCCGGTATGCTCTGATTGAAAACTTGTATCTCAACATGTCTGGAACCCCAGATGAGGTTGATGAGGCAGTCAAAAGCAAGATAGTGTCATTATACACAGCAGTCATTCTCTACCAAATGGCTATCTACAATTTCTGGAAGCAAGGCAAAATTACACATGGCATACAAAGTCTAGTGCCTAACAAACTCAAAGAAATGTCGAGTACGATCCAGAAAAAGTCGGCAGAAGTTGAGGCAATATTGCATAGTAGTGACAGAAAGGTGCTACTCGAACTACTCGAAGACATCAATCTCAAAGTCTCAAAGCCAATTGCCCAGATCGGCAGTCAGATGCAACAGGTTTTGGATGTGGCTTTGAACATTGATAGAGATAGATACTCGAGTGTCTTGAATTGGGTTTCGCCAATATTGCACATGGATCATCATCAGGAATATAAACCCCTGGGTGGGACTGGGGAATGGATCCTTGATCACTCGGATTGGAAAAAATGGCGGCAGTCCCAGAAATCGAGACTTTTTTGGCTCCGTGGCAAAATGGGTGCAGGAAAGTCTAATTTGGTGTAGCCACTCCAAATTTTCGCATTTGATACGTGCAGAAATCTCTGACAGATAATTTAGGTTTATCATCATATCTCATTTACTCAAAATCTGCACGAATGACCAGGAGCGTACAGCATTCTTCTATATCAATAATACCCGTCGGGTGGAACATACCAAATCCGCAGAGACGATTTTGAGATCCCTACTCAAACAGCTCGCAATTCAGGATAATGAGCTCCTGCTGCAGCCCGTTGTTGCAAAATATGACATGCTTCGAGATATCTCTAGTCTCCATAAAGAGGATTGCATCACGCTGCTTACTGATATCATTAGCGAATTTCGACAGACGAATATCATAATCGATGGTTTTGACGAGCTTGAGGATGATGATGTTCGATCGGACTTATTAGTCTCTTTGAAACAAATACTTGATGGGTTACAGGGTGCAGTGGCAAAGATTTTTATATCGAGCCGAGATCACGTCAACATACACGATCTCTTACATAAAACTTTTCCTCATCGCGCTGAAATCGTTGTTGCAAGGAACAATTATGAAGACATTAAGAAGTTCATTACAAGTCGTGTGCAGGATGTAGAGGACACGCTTTCTAAACCAATCCCGGAGGATATAAAGCGTGACATGGAGTCAATCTTAGAGGAAAGATCAGACGGAATGTAAGAATCTCTAGAATCTTTCCCGTTGGTACAGGTTTTATTAACAAGTCAGGTTCCTCTGGGTGCACCTGTCCCTGAAGTATATCATGGGAATGAAGGCTAAAAACCCCGCCACGTTTGTTGAAGATTTGAAAACGGTACCTTCAGATCTCAAAGAAGCCTATGAAAAGCTGTACAATTCCCTGCTTCAGGGACAAAACCGTGAGAGAATAGGTATCATTCAAAAGATATTTTGCTTTCTCCTGTACGGATATCACGATGAAATCTTTAAGGCCTCTGCGTTTCTTTCGGCAATTAACTACAAGGCCACATTAAAGCTATCTGCAAAAGACATTCTGGATTTATGTTCCACATTCATTGAGTTGGATCCAGAGACCCGAAATTTTAGAATAATTCACTTTTCTGTGAAAGAGTTTCTTCAGACCTTGGTAGAATATGAGTTTCAACATGCAAATGCTATAATTGCCGCTGATTGTGTCTCTTACTTAAATGACCAAAGTGGACGTCGCAGTCCGTCAGACTATTATGTGAGAGGCCGGCGCCGGGTCAGAGGCGGTCAGAAATACAACTTCAAATCTTATGGGACTGAGTCTTGGATGATTCATTGTTCTCAGGCGGGTAGTTTGAGACAGAAATCGCCGCTTGTGGAGATATTATCCGAATTCTGGTCTTCTAAGACGCACGGGAAAGTAACCCCTTTCGAAGCATGGGCATATTCAATGAACTACTACGAACCTGCAAGCCAAGATTCTTTTACCCATATATTAACCGGAGGCCAAGGATCGTTATTTATTGGTTCGGAGCCAACAGCTTTTTTCCTAGCCTGTCAGTATGACCTCCGAGAGACAGTAGAAAGCTATTTGTGCAAAGGTTGGGATATAAATCTCACAGATGATCTTCTCGGACCAGGGCTTTCACATGCATGCATTGGCAATCATATGGAGCTCGTCTCTTATTTACTTTCTCATGGAGCAAAAATATTAACCGATAAATTTGAACAATCACCACTTTGCGCGGCTATTAGAGCTCAGCGACCAGATATTCTTCGTTTGTTCTTACAGCATACTAGTTTGCCAACTGTAGAACCTTTACTGGAAGTGGCTCTGGGGAAAGGGAATGAGGTAAGGGGAATATATCATAAGCTCGATTCGCAGGCCAACAGCCGAGTATTAAACTTGTTGCTCGACTATTCATCGGATTTCCAGTATTCGGACATGTTATTAAGATTAATATTCAGTGGAGGACCTCGGATCCTCAAACTGCTTCTCGAACGAAATTCTTCATTATCCGTAACAACCGACACCCTCGAATGTCTTTTCACTTCTGAGACTGAATCTTGGTCCAATACTCGATTGTGTCTCGATTTATTACTTCCGCTAAATCCCGATTTGGTAAAATCCCGGTCGTTGCTAATTGCTCTTCAAAAATATGATGGAAACAAGCCTTCTGAATTAGCCCAATACATTGTCGAAGATTTGAACTCATCAGATCCTTCATCTTTGATATCCGAACTGGCCCTGAGGGCCGCAATGCAAAACGATACAAACAAAATTCCTTTTATCGAGTTCTTGCTCCAAAAAGCCCCGGCTTTGAAAATATCGGACGAAACGATATTATGGACAATTGGAAATTATTGGCTTAGAGAGGAGGACGATGTGATCAAAACCCTGCTCCAACACGACCCCACTATTCGAAATTTCTCTATTTCAGATTTTGAGAAGGCATATGACAATTATTATCTAGATTTTGGCGAGTTTATGGCGAGCGATTTCATGGCAGTTCTCCTAAGATACTGCCCCGAAGTGGCTATCGGTCAGGAGTTATTTACCGTAGCCATAGGAAGTTACCAACAACCAAGCCTTAGCGGACTTAAACTTCTACTTTCCTGTAACCCGAGTATTAGATTGACCTGGCAGTTGGTGGGAAACATACATTCAGATGCCGCGGATCAGGTAGTAGACGAGATCTTATGTTCGAGCAACCTTGTGGAAATTACAGATGATATATTACGGGCAGCTCTAGGTAATCATTATCTCCGCTACATTGATCACATATCACCGATTATAGTCAACTTGCTATCTAAAGCGCTAGAATCATTGGAATTATCGAATGAAACTGTCTACCAAGCCTGTGAATCTCGGGCGTGGATCATGGAACAAGTGCTTGATCGTTGGCCAAACGCACCTTTGTCAGAGAAAGCTCTGGTGGCCGCATTAAGCGATAAACAAAAATTCGATATCCTTATGGAAAAAAGACCTTCGATAACAATCTCTGCTGAGGTCATTGAAACTCTATACAAGGAAAATCGTGGCTCGGACAACACAATAAGTACTATATTGAAGGTCTTGGAGTTACAGCCAAAAACTACAATCACGGAAAAACTGCTCGAGACAGTTTCTTTCAAATATTTTGCAGCTGACGAGGGACTGCATTGTCAGTTGTTCGATATACTTCTACGACGTATTTTTCACGCAAGTTTGACGGATCGTGCCGTTCGGCGTTCCATGGTACATGGGTCCTCTCTCGCTCAGCTTACGTTAGAAGCACGACCAGATTTGATACTCAGTGCCTCCTGTTTTGGCAGCATCTGTTCTCAACTTTCCGATGAAAACACAGAGTACCAGATTATCTTACATCAACTGTTGAAACGATTGAGCAGCCCTGGACTGGATGAAAAGGGAATGCTAGAATTCATCCCAGAATGCACGCCAACGGCACTTATAGCAGTTCTGTCAAGCAAACCTGGCAAACCTGATGCGATAGTGACAGAAAGCGCCATCAATACTCTTTTGAAGGAAGTTTCTATCAAGCCATACTTAAAAGGTACTCAGTTGTGGTTTCGCGACCCTGGAGATGAGGCGTTCAATATGTTACTGGATCGATCGGGTTTGCCGGAGTCTTCACGACGATTATTATTGTCTGATTTTCAGGAGTTAAAGAGGAAGGACTAAGAAACTGAGGACAAAGACACTGAGGACGAGAGTTAGTTCATTTATTGTTATGGAGACATTTTCAGCCTAGCTTTTCATAGATCGATGCATTCGGCACCAATATTACGAATGGTGACATTCTCGCCGAACATGCTCGTAACATAACAACCTTCTTTAGATATCAGCAAATGCCTTCATCAAATTCCCTAATTCTCATTATTCGACGGGATATTTAGTCTCAATTCCCAATCACACGATTTACTACTTTTCTCTCCAGCGCTTTAGCAACATATACGGGGAAAATATCATATTCCCTCTGACTAGGTAGCCTAGGTTTATAGAAGAATTCAACAGAGCAGGGAGGTATATAAAGCTATCAGCTTGCAGAGCCAGTATCGTCATGAGGGAGGTGAATAATTGTTTGTCTTCTCTTCTTCGCCCCTATCCTTATATTACAATTTCGTTCGGATACCCTACATTCAATCTCTAGGTTCGATCTCCGGCGCACACGCTTGTCGAATCATCTTGTTTCTGTTGCAGACTACCTGCAAGAACTGAATTAAAAGGACTCAATTGTTCCTTAGAATCTACAACGAGAGCCCGTGGATCTCGGAAGTCGAAGAGCTCTTGTGCGGGTGATTGGGTCGCCTGGTGCAATTTCGGATAATTATGTTTAATCCTGTGATCTGACAACTTTTGATCAATCACAATACCATTATTAATTAGATATCAGATTCAAAAAATTTCCCCAAAGTTTACGCACGTACGTACATTATCTACAATTCAACGCGACTATCCCCAGGCACTATGACTGCAACGGCTTGTTCTCCATCTAGTCTTTTCCCTATCGTAACTATATACGTTCAAAGAATGTTTTCCCTGGTGGTTCTCTGTTCTACTTTCCTTGTAGCCATCCGAGAAGGATCGCACGGGCGGTATCCATGGCCCTACGACCTCTCTCCACCGAAAGCTCAGCAGTGAAAGCCTCAGTTCTTACAGAAGCTGCAGTTCCTCTAGCTGTCGCCATCTCTCCATATGTCGCAGAAGTGATAGCTTGATCAGCCAATATTCGTGCTCTCTCTGCCGCAGCTACTACTGCCAGAGACTCATTTAGAGAGTCTGTCAAACTTATATCTAGCCTTACTACCGCATCACTGGCAGCCGTTGCGTATTTTTCGGCAATGGCACGTGCAGCAATGTCTTGCTTTCGAGCGTTATCGCACTCGCGGACCTTTGCCTGGGCAGCTTCGACTCTTAATAACACATCTTCCACCTTTGCTGAAGTTACCTCTGCGTGTTCTCGTAATTCGCGCGAGAGTTTTTGCGTCTGGCTTTCGTCCTCTTCATCTTCACCATCGTCATCTCCAGGAGCATGGTCCGGTTTCTCTGCGTCCTCCACATTGGTTGCTGCTTCTACGATAGCATTGGTCTTGCTTGTTATTCGTCGCGCTCCCTCTGTAATCTCTGCAAATGAGGCCCAGGCAGTAGTTCCGCATACAAAGAAGTCTGTGATTCGAATTGCTGTGGCTTTCAAGGAGTCGCGTTTGGCGGTTTTCGCAGCCTCAAATAACTGTTTATCGTACTCGGATACTTTTGACGCAAATTCACTTGTAGAAGAGGCGGCGATAGTGATGCGAGAGAGATCAGCTGCAACTGCGTGCGTAACAGCAAGCAGCTGTTTGCGATATTCGACATATACATAGATCCATGCAGCTACTAACATAGCGACGGTACTGAGACTCACAATTGGCAGGAGCATTAAATAGAACATACACCCGATTTCATAACGTGTGTCCAAAAGAAAAAGCACCTTTTTCAATATCACCTAATCGAAATTGGAAAATTGGAAAATGTAATTCAATCAATATAACTCCAAATTGAAAAAACTTTGTATCATAATATAGATCTCAATTGATAAAATCTATAAATAAAATTTGAATAGAATTAATCAAGAATTCATTGAATTGGAAGTGATTGAATGAAATTATGATTTTTAAAATAGTTTTCAGGTTTTTAAACTTTCGAAAATTGAAATTCATTCAACCACCTTCAATTCAATAAGCTTTTGATCGATTCTATTCAAATTTTATTTGTAGATTCTATCAATTGAGATCTATATTATGATACAAAGTTTTTTCAATTTGGAGTTATATTGATTGAATTGGAAGCAATTGAATTGTTTTCGTATCAGATTTAGCAAAAAGTTGATTAGATCAAAAAAAGTCACGTTTTGGACACACGTTATGAAATCGGGTATATCCCCATGGAAAGATGTCAAGTAGGGAAATAGGAAGAGTGCAACACAGCACCACCAGTCGAGGAGTTTATACAATCGAGAGATGTGTTCTGAGTATTCTAGATAACCGAAGCGAAATGGACCATAAAACTTTGCAGTTGGTGCAAAGAAGCCAATGGTGGCTATGCCTGCAAGGAGGGAGACATGGATCCATGGTCGCAAGGGAAGTGCGAGTCCATAATGGATGGAACTATACGTTAGTAAAACCACCAACGAGCCAACTGCTAGAGTTAGATCCAGTAAGATTTTCAAGACAAGCTAAAAAGTTTTACAAATTTAGAAGACTCGCTTTTGACGTAGGGTGCTAAACGTGTAGCCACTGCTTCGATGGCCGGTAGAGACTTCTTGAACTCAGACACTTCTGGATTCTCCTCAGCTGAACTGCTTTCGGGAAATCTCAGATAGCCCTTCGTATAAGCAAATACGAGACCTATAAGGAGTGCTGGGTTGTGAAATGGGTCTAAATCTACTAAGTTGAGGCGGAGGGTATGGAGTAGATACAAAATCGCCCCGCAAAAGACAAAGTTTGTGCCAGATGTTTTCGGACGAGACGCTTCTGGACTATCGCTGGCCAGACTGATATCAGGGAGCTTCAAGTAGCCACAGAAATGAGCTACGAGCAGAATGGCCACAAAAGTGGGATCTTTGAACGGCTCGAGGTCCAACCCATCGGCGTTGGATTTGGAAAGATAGTACAAGACTATAACGGAAATGATGAGGCCTACTCAAGTATAATGATCAGCTATCAGTCCGACGAAATCTGTAATTCTCACAGAACTTACCAGTACTACTTGCTGCGAATAATCTAGACGCCGCTCGAACAGAAAGGAAGATGTTCTCCCAGAATGGACTGGAGGAAGTCATGGTAAAAACACGATGCGCAATAGCAGTCGCCACGGGAAACGTTGGTATCCCGAGATAAAGAATTGAAGATCTAGCCGACACTCGACTAATATGATGGTTAATTTTCAATTCATTTGCAGGATTTTGGAACTCTTTTAAATCTTCTTCCTATCCACTGTTTGCCTGTGTATCGGCAATCAGCACTCCGTAGTGGACAGCTATCCAACGCTGCAGATGCATGTCAGATTCAAAACTGCCTATTGATTTACTTCCATACAACGGTAGCTTTCGTCATTTGCGGCTATATGTTTTATGGACTAGCATTGACAGATATGGGTCGTATTTCAGCTATACTCAGACCCCACCACCTTCGATCAATCCTACCTGCAGATGCATGTCAGACTTATGACTACCTATTGATTGACATATACCACCAATTGATTTACTTCTATACAACGGCGTTTTCTTATTTTAGATAGCTGCAGCTTTCTACATTCAACTCAGTATTTTTGAAAGAAACTTAAAGAGACACTGTCAACTTATTCTGTGGTTGGCGATTAATCTTTAGTGCTACACAGAAGTCAATTCTCGCTTCTTACTTGAGTTTACTTTGAGGCTATTTTGTTCAAAGAAAGCTCACTCGCGGTCAGTGTAATTTGTGACTCTTGTTCAACGTACGAACATTAAAATATTTATATTTTCGCCCGATTCTTCTCATGAGCTCGGTGCTATGGCACAACACATTACACTCTTCACTTTCCCGCAGGGTACTAAAGTACCAGCAACCCCACTAAATTATGACAATTTCAAAGGAGGAAGAAATCGCACAGAGGGCGCATTTCGTCTTATTGAAGTCAAGGGTCTCACGCTGAGCCTTCCAGTTCTGAATATCGTTGAATTTCCCGACATAAGATTTGGACATAATGCAGCACGCAAGCTCAAAAATCTTCCTATGTCTCGCATCAAGTACACAGCAATCAGCCATGTCTGGAATCCTTCCCCTGAGGTTGAACTTCAAATGAACGCTATGATTGACACGGACTTGTTTGGGGTAGAATTTGATCCTCTGTATGACGGAACAGGACTAAGACTGGTGAATCTTAGTTGGATTGGCCTGGACCAAATGGCAAATGCTGCCAAGATGCAAGGTTCCAATTACATATGGCTCGATCTTTGCTGTATCGACCAACCGGATAGGAAGGACAACGAGACGAAGTTTCAGATATCAATGATGGCCGATATCTACCGGCACGCGAACAATGTCATTGTTATGGTCGGCGGAGCTGGCTGTGTTAAGCACACCGATCAAGTTAGCCCGTGGATGGAAAGAGCTTGGACCCTTCAAGAAGCGATCCTTAACAGGAAGACCTTTGTTTGCGTGTTGTGGCCAAACTCTAAGAGAAATGTGACGTATATTTCCAAAGTACCACCCGTCGAGTGGAAGTTTCAACCGGTGATAGCCGCAAGACCCGCGCCAAGAATCTCGCCTGGGGACGTTTGCTGCCTCATTCCTCTCAAAGACCTAATCGACATGGCTGATGTGAATTTTTCTCAAATCAAGCCGTTAGGCTGTCCAGAAATTAGCGTTCTCGATGGAATGACGCTCAAGGCCGGTAGTGCACCAAGACTAGCGCTACGGGCAGCATTCTTAAACTCCCCTCTGGCGATAAAGTACACAGGCGTGTGGAGGAGCATGTTTATGCGAACATCGACTAAGTCTATTGACGTTGTCTACAGCATCATGGGGATATTTAACCTAGTAATCGACCCATTCAAAAAGAACCACGATCCTTCTTTCATGTTCAATGATTTGGCCCGGAAGACAGGAGCGACACCAAGTATTGGCTCATGGGGGTGGCTATCTATTGGCGGAGTTACTGGTAGCGACATCCCGTTGGATACCACATCTGGAATAATTCCACGGTTCCCTCACGATGAAGCGAAGGTTGCTTCCACGACCAATCAGCCTCCAGAGATGGATTTCGGAGGTAGGTGGGAATGGGTTGGTCATCATGTTGATCACTCCCCGTTCTATGTCACATCGCCAGGCTCTTACAGTACGAGCCACAATATCAACTTCATGACCCATTCTCAGCCACATATCATAAATGCGACCATGATTCCTGTGAACCATAAGCCCATGTTAATAGGCTCGAGACCGGTTGCGACTGCTGGCCGGAAAGGTGTGAAAAGAACAGTCTCTATGCTCAAGCTCATGAATTATTCAGGGCGATGTGTTCACAACGGCGACCTCGCTGGACCATGGAGCCGGCCTGGAAGTATTCAGGCCGTCTTTGTAGGGAAGGTTGGTGATATGAGCACAGCGGTCGAAGTTGCTAAACCTCTTTCTAATTATACAGGGTGAATGTACTTCCTCTTCTTCAAATATTCCAGGAGTGAAAAGAAATGGCAAATCGTTGCAAATGGTGCTTGGAATCCATCGACAGGATGGAAACTTCCTGTATCTAGTCGCTCAATCTTCAACGTCGGTTATCGTGCACAAGAGCGATTGAAGAAATGGTCGGCAGATGACAATGTGTGGGTAGACCAGAGGTATCAGCTATTTAGGCATAGTTATGGAGTAGAACCCTTGCGTGGATGGTTAAGCGATTACCCCAGGGAAAGGAAAATAAAATGGTTTGGATCCAAGGTAACTGCATCCCATCATGTTATAAGTTTTGTGGTGCATTCTATCAGAGATAACTAACAAGCTTCCTCATATTAGGGCTCCATACCCCCTATGGCTTCTGACCTTGTGTGGCGAAACTTTGAGTTCAATTACGATTTGTTGAAAAATTTCGTCTCTCTTATGAACAAAGTGAATGAGAACGACGATGATTCAGATGAAGAGGATCATCAAGATGAGGCGTATATCGAAAAAGAAGAGAATGCGCCACTAGACGATCTACTTAAACAAGGACACATCCACCACTTGCGAGTCCTATCCTGCATCGTCGACGAGAACCGTACCCCGCGAACCAGCACAACACCGACACCCTACAAGATCTTACAGCAAGGCTCGATGCCCATGACTTATAGTTACGGGGATTGGCTGAAAGCAGTACATATCAAGCTCATAAAATGCAATGTTGAGGGCCTCATGATACCTAATCCGTGGAGTAATAGCGAACCAGTGTTGAAATACCAGGTACGGATTGTGTTTGGTTATCGCGTCATGTATGTCCAAATGAGGCATAAAGGGAAGAGCGATCCGAGGTTCTATAACATGTACTGTGTGCCGTACAGGGCTTCCGGACAAAGTCGTCCAGTCCGCAACAGAAATAGTCTTATAGCCCCGCAAAATCCGAACTATGGGGCCGGATCTTATCAACTACCGGTCTCCTACGAGCCTGATGGGCCGTTATATCCATCTGCTTAGATTTATGAGCTTGGTCTTTTGGTGTTTCAATGAGCTTCAATGCTCCCCTGCAAAACTTTGGGACCAAATTTAGCAAATCAGAACTTGATGAGCCAAAGCGGGCTCTAGAATAATAATAAGTTGATTGGTGAAAACGACTTTCTACCTCGAATCAGAGAGTGCAAGATATCTGATTGGTCAAGATCAATCATAATCCTGCTTCAGTGAGAATTTCAACATACGCTTACTATGCTGTGTAACTGGATACTTTTCGACACAGCTTTATACTACCTCTACACCATTTGTCTCATTGGAACTGCAATCACCTGTATCCGCACCCCTTTCGATAACAATTGATTCTCTCCTGCAATGTCGGATGTTCCAGACGATATCAACACGCAATTTCTCGAGCAGTGGAAGAATCCCGGCGATGTCTTCTCCGTCCTCCTCATCGTCGGCGGTGACGTTATTCTCCTCGCTCTGGCCTGTCTCACCGGTAGGACATTCACACCTATCGCTTTCTCCTTCGGTTGGGTTGCATATGCCGTTTCCGCCGTTGTAGTCGCTGTTGGCGAAAACAAGCTGTTAGTGCGCTGTCCACCAGAGATCTCGCTGAAGGTAATTAATCTGAAGAATGGATACTGTCGCGAGAACAAGTCATGGCTGCTGGGGAGATTCATCAAGGATTATAATTTCTGGATGCCTGGCGATGTTAAGGAGCGACTTCTGCGTCCGCGTGTGCGTTGTGATGAGGAGAATAGTCATACTAAAGCTATTTCTTCGGGTTCATCAGCGATTCAGAAGTCTACTGAACCCACTGTGACGTTGGGTCGATCCGATGCCGCGCTGTGTATTGCTGTTTTTAAATGGATTGATGGTGCGGTTCCAGGTCTACCATCTCGTGATTGGGCCTGGTGGAGTGGTCTCTTTGTTTCACTGCTACAATTAGGTATCGCGGCAATCCCGTGGGGTCTTCACTCCAACTGGGGAATATTTCTTGCCACTGCCATCGGAGCATTACTAGCCTACCTTTCCGCCTCCCTACCCCAATGGCGTCAAGAAAAATGGTCCGCGGCAACCAGAGAGAAGGATGTAGCTGTGACGATAGGCAATGGAAATAAACACGTGATAGTAATTCTGGGTACTCAGCATGGCTTAGACATGGAAGATCTAGCTACTGGAAAGGCCCCTGATTTACTATCCACGCGTATCTATACTTCTATCCTAGCTGTCTTCTGGTTGGTATTGTTAATCACATGCTGTGGCATCAAAACAGACTCATGGTATCTGCTCGCCGTCGGTGGATTGGGTATGGCGCAAAACTTGATAGTCGCGAGCGTACCGCGGACTCCCGCAGCGCATGGTCTACCCATCGAGCTCGTTAGCAGTGGAAATGAAGACCAGGTTATTCCGGAAGTCTTTGCAGAGCCGAAAGTGATGTGGACGATAATGGAATTTGAGCAAAAGCATCGCGGGCGAGGTAACGCTCTTGTAAAGGAGTTCTTTCCTGGAAAGTTGCTTGATTGGGAGGAAAAGTGGTGGAACTCTGATGATTCGGATGAGAGACGAGAGCTCCTTGAAGGAGCGCGGCGCAAAGCATGGAGGAAAGCACATGAGGCGGCACGAATGGAGGGGGAGAAGGGGGAGAAGTAGCTCGAGAAATATTAGAATAAGAGCGAGGAGATATTTACATGAAGTCTACTTGAAAGGTAAATCTTCGTCACAAAAGCTTCCTTTCGAACGTAAGCTCAATAAACATATCCCGCTCATTTCCAGACAAAACAATACTTACCTCCTTTCTGAGACTAGAAACCCTAGCAACAAAATTCTGCAAACGCGCTGGATCGACTGCTCAATACAGATGCACCGGATTGCATACGTCCGGAATCTCGATATTCTTCCATAGTTGCAATTCCATACGTAACGGCCCCCATCGGAATAGAAGAATCAATTCCAGGCACGGCATTAATCCTCCCACAAAAGAAGAGATCCTATACGTGAGTATAAGACCAGAAAACCACCACCAGAAATTCAGCTCACACTTCAGGTTCTTTTCCAAGAAGAACAATCCCAGTTTTGACTGCATCGGTTCTTTTGGGGAGGTTCAGACGTAATCATTCAACATTGACGGGAATACTGAGATGATGGTTCCTGATACTATACTACCTGGAATAATTTGCAGAATGAGACTTACACAATTGATTACTCCTCACGCTCACCTCATTCATACAACCAAACTTCAGACCCGCAAAATAAATTAGCAGCATCGCATGAACAGCTCCATCTCACCAATCACCCATAAACAAACCCATCAAATTCTCGAGACCGAAACCCATCTTTCCCTCTCATCTACTCACTCCATATCATAGAAAACCTACATCCTCCATCCACTAACATAATCCCCAAAGTAAAAAATCTCCCAAACACGCCAACCCATCAATTTCACTCCCGAGGTCGCTAAAACAAAGCCCCGCCCCCTCTCCAACCCCACTTCTTATATCCACCTCATGGCCCCCACCAAACAAAGAAAGAGTTTTGATTCCATTTTTTCATCCAATTACACATCCGCACACATTAATATATACTCAAAGATCATTGAGAGGAACATCAACCAATCAAATAACAGCGTTTGTGGTTTAGTGGTAAAATCCATCGTTGCCATCTGTCCCTTCTCTCATCAGAAGAGTGCGATCACAACTTCGATGGGCCCCGGGTTCGATTCCCGGCGAACGCATCATTTTTTTCATGTTGTTGGTTGTGCGAACTGATACTTTTTACTTTTTCATGTACAGAGTGTATATAAGAGTTCTGGCCCCTGCTCACCGCATTCCTGTGACAAATGTGATAAAATCCCTGCGAAAATGAGGTTTTTTTATACAAATTATTATATCGATTATTTCATTCAAATCTTTATATTTTCTTTTTCAAAAAATTAGAATCAATAAATAATCAGAATTGAAATATAAAAAATTATTTGAAATATTTTTCACTATTTTTGTTGAATAGTTATATAATATTGAAATCAAATTTTTCCAAAAATTTTAACATATAATATTTTTCCTATACAAAATAAGCGAATTTTTCAAACTTTTTTGAATTTCCAATTTTAATCTTTTTAAAATATTATTAAAAAAATATTTAAAAATAAATGATATATTTTTTTGTATAATTTGAATAATTCTAAATCTTTTTATAATACTATATTCAATTTTATTTTATATATTTATAAATAAACTAAAATATAAAAAGCTGAATAATTATATATTTTAGTTGGAAAAGCGTTATATATACATTGAGCAGGGGCCAGAACTCTTACATACAGTATAGTATGTATGATGATCATAGTCAATTTTTTTCTTTTCCATTCATAACTTCTTCCCAAAACTTCCTCATTTACACCTATACATTTTGTAAGAATCATATCAGATATAAGCACTCTGAATTCGATACGATTTTGATCTTTCTATCTCAAAAACTTCCATCCACATACCCCTAAATCTCATTAACCCCCCTTCCCCCCCGCTTCCCCCAAAGAATTCCCAATTCGCAATTTCTAAGTGTTTTATCAAAATTTGGTCTTTCAAAAATACACATTCTTCATAAGTGATGTGCGTCTGGGATTGGCGAATTGCCCAAAGCAGACATTGTTTCTGACACGCCCCATTGTCTCGGTGAAACTGTTGAGCGCATAATAAGATGATAGATCTTCAGAGACGGAAAGACATGATGAGATATGTACTTTTAAGAGCGATGGGACGAGTTCAAATATCTTGTTGTGATTCGAGCTATTCTTCAAATAACGAAGCTCATAGTGCATTATTGATCTACTCCTCAAGTGCCGACAACCTTTCAAGGAGTAATAACAAATTTCCCAATTCCACCCTTCCCAGCAAAAACCTCTTGACAACCTTTTCTAATACCATCAATGTCCTCAAGCTTAACTTCAGAGCCTACAATCGGTCTGAGCTTTCCTTCTTTAACCAACTCTCCTAGCCTTTCCAAGTCCTCCCGACTTGGTTCCATCATCAGATAGCTATAGCTTCTCCCGTTCCAACTGGCCCACTTTCTTAAACTCCAATCTAAGAAATCCATAATTTTGACCATCCACCAACTTAATTTGACCTTGACACCTCCTTCAGATACCCCAGCAGTATGGCGACTCATACGCTCGATAGTATTGGTGCCACCGGGTATCATAGAAATGGAGACTATGACTCCCCCCTTTTTAACAAGAGAACCAAGAGAAAGTGAGCAGGATGTTGTGTCGAAGAGAAAATCTACACTCTCTTTCCCTATTGCCTTGACGACATCTTCTTTCGTATAATCTACTGTTTCAATTCCCTTCCCTAACAATTCCTCTGCTCTACCTATCTTTCCTGTACTCAAAGTGGTGATGACCCTCCCGGCTCCAAACACATTCTTGGCGAGCTGAACAGCGATACTACCCGTTCCACTCATACCAGCAGGGATAAGTACAGTCTTACCTTTTAATCCGCCTGGCAACTGACTGTCTGCTCGGAGTACAGATTGATAGGCTGTCAGTGCTGCGAGTGGCACAGCGGCAGCTTCGGAATGAGAAAGGGATGATGGCTTTTGAGCTACAGCTGCAGAAGTCGAGAGACAGTATTGTGCTTAAATAGGAAGTCAATTATGTTAATTAAACACCGGAGTACTTTTCAAAGCTGGGAAGAGGGGGGTCCAACGACCGGAAAACGAAAAAAGAGACAGCGCATACCAATGGTTCCACGATGACGTTCAGGTACGCGAGAGTAGACTGCGTCGCCAGGCTTGACGTGGGTGACGGAAGAACCAGTGGAGACAACAGTACCCGATACATCGTAGCCCATCAAGTAGGGGAACCTGGAAAATATCAGAAAAAAGTAGAGATAACACAGAGAAAGCGAAAGTCGATGCAAGATCGCCTGGAATTGCAGCAGAATTACATCCGTTCTCCTGAATTTCATGACAATACACATTCCAGGAGATCTTGAAGGGTGTGAATCATTCGCAAGGCTGGATAAAATGACCATCTCGTGCGCATGAGAATATCTCAGACATAGCGTGGACTATGATTACCTGATATAGTCTCATTCTCACATTCCTCATCATAGGATTGACTTCCTTCATCCATCTATGTCACGGTAGAGAAAGTACGTACTTAACATCGAACATCATCTTTGCATACCCGCCAGCCATCTTGACATCGATAGGATTGACACTAGCCGCTTCCACTTTGATCAATATATCATTTTCATGCGTGATTTTCGGAGTTGGAATGGTTGCTATGTCGTATGTATCTGGTTTTCCAAACTTGGAGAGAGCGAGTGCACGCATTGTTGCTGGAACCTTGGTGGCGAATTTAGATTCCATCTTTGTTTAGGAACGGAGAAAGTATAGAGAGTAGAGTTGACTCGGAATAGAAAAGATGGACCGCAAAGAAGTAGATTTACCACAATATATACTGATATTGAAAACAGAGGGAATTAAAAGGGGACTTATTTTCTAGGTGGAGACTATCGAAGGAGAAAAGTCCGCCCGACTCGGAGACTTTTTGATATGAAGAATGACCTCGGGAGCTTTGATTGGGCGGGGCATGTGACGAACGACGGGAAAGATCGAGAATTAGAAATCAATATCATAATAGAGTCACGCTGGTGATTCTTGTAATACTTTATATTGTCAAGAATCCAAGGATTAATGAAGAGAAAAGGGAAGTTGTGTCATAACGAGATGGAACGGGATAATTGCTCTCCGAAGTAGGTCAAAAATCACTGATTTGAGGAAACTCTCCTCCGTTATTAATTACCATGAAAAGGCGAAATACTCTGATGAAACATCACACGATCCCAGTGAGTGTGCAAACGAGTGACGGAAGAAAATGTGTACCGGTAGGTGATAATTTTGAGTGCATACCTAGGTAGGTAGGTATCAACAGCATATCTATCGATAACATCTCAAAGTCACGTGTGACTTGACGCAACCACAATTTTGAAATTTAAAGTCCTCAACCTCAACCCCCTCTCATCCCCTGAGACTTTTGGTCTCGATAATGAACAACAATTTTTATTCTGTTTGTCGTCGAATTCTCGAATCATTCTTTGACACTCTCAAACAGGAAAGGGTCGAGATAAAAACTTACCTGGTAGCCACTTCCCTTACCTAAACAGGAGATACCCACTACACGTGCTAGTTACCCAACCTCTACACCTCGCAAACAGAATTCCTCTACACACCCACCTGTCAACAATTTCGAGTAAAATCATGGCTCTTACTCTAAAACCAGTAGATGTTCCATCCTTCTGTACAACTCAACTCCACCTCTTGGACCAAGAACTTCAATCCGAGCTGTCCGAAACTTCGACCCTCATAACTGGAACCTCACCCACTTCCCTTCAACGAGCTGGTCTTGCTATTACAAATCTCGTTTTGATATCTCAAAGAACGGGATTGGGAGGAAAAACCGTTGTTGAGTTGGGTCCCGATCCGGCAACTTCTAGTTCTGGCTCTGGAGCCAAAGGTAAAGGTGGTAGTGGGGGCTCGGGAGAAGGTGAATTACAAGAACATGGGATACGGGTTGGCGATATTGTGGCGGTTAGTGAACAGCCCAGTGGTAGTGCAAAGAAGAGGGAAGTCAAAGAGTTAGAGGAGAAGGGGAGTAGAGGTGTGGTGACGAAAGTAGGGAGGAGTGCGGTGTGGGTTGCGCTGGATGAGAATGGGAAGGGCGAGGAGAATGTTGGGGGTATGAAAAGGTGTTGGGTGGTCAAGCTCGCAAATGATGTCACGTACAAAAGGTTTGTTTATTCTATGTTGATTTGATCTGTTGGATTGATAGCCGATTGAGTGAGAGGAGAATAGGGTGGGTTGCTAATTGGTAACTTAGAATGAATGGTACCATGGGAAAATTGGGGAAGATGCAAGAAGCGGAATATTCGAATTTCGTGAGGGTTTTATTTGGATTGTCATCACCTTCACCAGTTCCAGAAAACCTGGGGGATACGGGAATTGAGTGGCTGGATCCAAGTTTAAATGATAGTCAAAAGCATGCCATTAAGTTTGCACTTGCTTCGAGAGAGATGGCTTTGATTCATGGGCCACCTGGAGTGAGTATCCTAGATTTCTTTTCTGGCATTCAGCGGGTCATTTCAAAGTACTATCAAATATCTCCACATTAATGGATGATGGCACTGTGGTTGCAATTTTTTGAATCATGCAAAATACAATCAGTTTCAACGGATCGTTATCAAAATGTCAAGAATAATAGATAGAGGAATCACGTCGCTCGAGAAACTTGCTAACAGTTGATAGACTGGTAAAACCCATACCTTGATTGAACTTATTCTGCAGATGCTCAAGCAGAATCTCAGAGTCTTGGTGTGTGGGCCATCCAATATATCCGTGGATAATATTGTTGAGCGACTTGCACCACATAAGGTACCTATTGTACGCCTGGGTCATCCAGCGAGACTTTTGCCATCAGTTGTCAATCATTCTCTTGATGTCCTTACACAGACTTCAGAAGCGGCTGCGATTGTGCAAGATGTACGAAAAGAAATGGATACCAAACAAGCTTCAATAAAAAAGACCAAGAGTGGCAGAGAACGAAAAGCTATATATGGCGATCTCAAGGAACTTCGTAAAGAGTTTCGAGAACGGGAAAGGAAATGTGTCAATACTTTAGTGGGCAGTTCAAAAGTCGTACTTGCAACCTTGCATGGTGCTGGAGGATTTCAACTGAGGGATGAGAAATTTGACGTTGTGATCATTGATGAAGCGAGGTAAGAGTGTAATGTTTTCTCTGAATTTGCGGCATCCAATTCCAATCATCTATGTCATGTTTTTCTCTTTTTCTGATCGTCTCTCGTTTTTCTCAGCGATTCCCCTTTAGAAGATGATTACTAACTTCTTATGCTATAGTCAAGCTTTGGAAGCTCAATGTTGGGTACCTTTGCTATCAGCTAGTAAAGTTGTTCTTGCCGGAGATCATCTCCAGTTGCCCCCAACAATCAAATCACTAAATTCCAAGACTAAAACGAAATCACAAGACACAGAGACAGAGGGTATCATTAAGGGGATGACTTTGGAGACCACTCTGTTTGACCGATTACTAAAATTACATGGCACTGGAATCAAAGTCATGCTTACTACACAATACCGCATGCATGAAAAGATCATGAGATTTCCCTCGGACGAGTTATATGAATCAAAACTTGTCGCAGCTGAAGCAGTTAAGGCAAGACTTCTCACAGAACTACCTTATGATGTTGAAGAAACAGAGGATACTATTGAGCCCCTGATATTCTTCGACACTCAGGGTGGTGACTTCCCGGAAAAGAGCGAAGAGGAGAGTGTTGATAAGAAAGCCGGCAAGGGAATGTTAGGTGAAAGTAAAAGTAACGAAATGGAAGCGGTTCTCGTGAGACGACATGTCCAGAATCTTGTCGATGCTGGGTTGAAGCCAGAGGATATTGCAGTTGTAACGCCATACAACGCTCAGGTGAGAATGATAGCAGTTTTTTTGTGCCTCATAATCTTTCCTCTGAAGTAATACTAACCCAAAAAGCTCGCATTAATGTCTCGGTCGATGAAGGAGGCCTTTCCCGGCATCGAACTGGGCAGTGTTGATGGGTTTCAAGGAAGGGAAAAAGAAGCAATCATTGTTTCCCTCGTTCGAAGTAACAGCGAACGCGAAGTGGGATTTTTAGGAGAGAGGCGCAGATTGAACGGTACGTCCTCCCTTTTGCATGAATTTCTTCATCTGTTCTCTACTTCTAGAACCATTGAACCCTTCTTTGCATGAATTTCGTTAAACACCCGCTCCCGCATCCCAGCATGATCACTGTTAAAGCAGATCTCCCGCAAACCAAATCAAACGGTTCTTGGGCTATAGCATGTTTGATAATCGACCTCACACAACGAATGCTAAGCATTTGCACTTCCAAATATCTATGCACAAGTAATAATGAGGAAATCATGATCATGCAACTGATATAACCTGCAAAATCTAGTCGCTATGACCCGACCACGACGCTCACTGACAATCATTGGTGATTCGGAAACTGTCTCGAGGTAAGTTCAGACCTCCTTTTCACCTTCTTATACTCTGTATATATTTATTTCCTTGATCCAATCTGGTTGAGACCATATGCTGACAATTGATGTATGATCGATGCAGAGGTAGTAAATTTCTCAAACGATGGATGGACTTTCTGGAAGAAAATGCCGACTTACGATACCCATCCGTAGCGGAGTTGAACTCGTAATGACCATCAATCAATTAGGATTTCGGTCGAAAAATCCAAAAACCGTTACGCCTTCAATGGCACTCTAGTTCCCGTCCCAAAGTTTGAGATCCATGAACGAAATTATGCAGTGCAGTTACGCATGGAGCTTGGAGGATGTGCCTCGGAAGCTTTTCGCTCCTCGCATTTCTTTTTGGTCTTTGCTGACGACCCACAAAAGTGTCCATAAACACCATCGCTGTCGTGCCACGCGATTTTGATCTTTCCCTTTCGAGAAGAGGGTGTGCATCAGACGAATGACGAACTCGATCTCAAGGACCCCCTGTAGTTTCATGTAGAGTTTGGCAGTGGCACGGATCCCAAGGTGTGCTTCGTACCGAGAACCTTTTCACGAAATCCACTGGTGCCATCTCCAAAAAGACTTGATAATCAACCCGTTTTTTTTCTCTCTTGTCAAAGAGTCAAAGACCCCCAAATTTTGATTATGGATGGCGGCGTTAGCTGTCACATCTGTATATTGCATGGAAAGTATGAAGACGACATGACCTATCGCATCTCCAACGATTGAGAAAATTGTGGGGATGCATACGGGGGGTTGAACTTTTAGTGTCGAATGCAATGTTTGACATGACATGATATGATAATAATGATATGATATGATATCCTCCTTCGAAGCGCGCGCAGGCAGGCTAAAAAGTTTACGAAAGATAGATTTATGCCGCGTGCGTGCGTGCAGGAAAAAGCTAATCGCGAATTGGAGATTGAGTTCCCGTTTTTGCATTTTCGGACTTGCTCGTTTGGGGGATAGATCTAGATGTACAGTATGCAATGTAATATGTAACGGAGGTAGCTAAGCACCGAGGCAACCCACTCTTGAGAACCTTTTTGTCGCGGTTGCGGTTGATTAGGAGCTAGGAGCTAGGAGCTAGGAGCTAGGAGGGGTTTTTTTATTTTTTTATTTTTATGAGCGATACTGGACTGGCGCTATTGATCGGTTTTGATAGTGTGTGTATGTTTTCTAGGTATGGAGTAGGTGGTAATTCATTTTCTGTGCTATGCCGCTGGGGCCGCGGATCATTGGGGTTTGTGTTGTTTGCTTTGGAGAATGGGAAGAATAGGAAGATGTCATGTATCGTATGTGTAGGTATTGTGAGTATGTAAATTCGGGTAAATATATATATACCTAGGCTAGGTAGCTAGTATATCTATCCATTATTCTCTTCAGTAACCTTGGGTTGTACGGTATCGGTATCGGTAGGTATGCTAGATGGATATGGATATGGATATGGATATGGATACATCAAGTCGAGATTTGAGAGATATACCAGTATGCAGTAGCATGAATGGAGGGAGGATTGTTGGTATGGTGTGGTATGGTATAGTATTTTATGCTATGTAGTTATAGGATTTTCTTGAATGTGTAATCTTACTACCTATATACAGAGGACATACTGTAATTGTAATTCGTAACTCTGCTTGTATTTTTTTATAAGAGATAAAAGATTATCTTGAGTCTGTCTGTTTGCTGCAGGATTTAGAATTGAGAATTTAGGATTGAGAATTGAGAATTGAAAGGGTTTATTCATTCATTCGTCGGTTGGAGATACGAGCTCGAACGCATCCCCTGGATATTTATGCGATACATACTGCTTTATAGGTAGGTAGGCTCGTAGGTAGGTAGGTAGCTATCTGTATGGAGTATGGAGGACTGCTTGGCGCTGTCTTATGTATCCCATGGGGTGGGAAGAAGGAGGATCTTTTGAGAGTATATCTAGAGCATAGTATACTATGTAAGGTATACTATGCAAGGTGGGAGGGATAATGGATGGATGGGTGAGGTGCAGGTGCAGTGAGGTGCATGTTCAACTTAACCGTTATCTGAGATAGTGTGGTCTTTGTGCTTTGAGTTTGTGCTGCGAATAGTATCTTGGGATATCTAGGTAGAGGGAAGCATGTATGTATGTATATAGAGTTTGGTGAAGATGTAGGTTTGTTGATTGTGATTGTGATTGTGATTTTGGAGGGTGGAATAGGAGGTGTGATTTTGTTTTATGGAGTGTGAGTATGAGTATATGTGTGAGTAACTTCAATATTTTATTACCTGAGAGTAAGTAAGTAGTTCGTCGCTATGTAAAGAGATTTACAGGATTTACAGGATTGGCATAGACAGGATTTACATAGGGACGATAGTAATAATACTAAGTATCTCGCTTTGGATGAAGGGGTTGAATTTTAATTTAGTCGAGTAGTACTTGCTTGGTACTTCCACTTCCACTTACAGAACATATTCATAATATGATTAACATCCATAACATCCATACCAGTCATACTAACCATGATAAGGTTGCTACATCCATAACCACTTAACCTCCAACACACCCTGCATGAATAGACTATCACCAATGCTCCACCCGCCATCCGCATCCATCATCCATCACTCATCATCCATCAATCACAAGTATTCTCCTCTCTCCCTCATTCAAAGATAGAAAGGCTCAAAAGCAAACACAGTGGATTCGCGGCACCAAGCACGAATAAGGATTGCTATCCTTTCTCTCCCGGGGGACGTTAACTCTTTTCGGATGATGTTGTGAGTTCGTTCATCAACGGAAAGAAAAAGGAATTTTCGCATGGTTTGGTTCGACCTAGGTAGGTAAAGCTATACCGCGGAAGATTATGGTGATTCGGTGATTGATTTGATTCATTGAGATTATTATTATTAGCTGGTTTCTTATTTCTTTAAAGATCTTTTTAGCTTGTTTTCTGCTTCTTCTTCGTCTTCTTCTTCGGTACATGATTCTCCCTTTTTCGGATTTCCACTTTTGACATGTACTTGTCTAACTGTGTTCGTCTTGAGTAGTTAAAATGTTGAATTCCAGTTGATGGGCGATGAGTATGTATGGATGGATGGAGATATGTATGTAGGAAGTAGGATGAATGTGTATGTATGGATATATGGATATATGTATGATGTGATTGATATAATTGATATGATTGATTGATTAATTAACCAAACCCCTCTCGAGTTGAGCATTCGAGCTTCAAGCCTTCGTGGGGTAAAATTCTTGTGCATTGCAGACAACAACTCATACCTTCCTAGGTTCCTAGCTTTAAGCACACTATTCAAGCTATTCATACTATTCATACTATTCATACTATTCATACTATTCATACTACCCTTACTATTTCGTGCAGTCGCTTCTCGAGTAGGTTGGTACAATATCTTCTTCCTTGTTCTTGTCAATACATTTTACAGGAGATGCGAAGAAGGCGAAGAAATGCAAAGAAATGCTAAAAAATGTAATAAAAAAATCTACAAAATACTAAGAAACGCTGGGAGATGCTGGCTCAGATACTGCGAGATACTGGAAGATATTCGTATTATTACCAATCTTTTCAACCCACCTCCTCCCTCCCTCCCACTTCAATGCATGCTTCAATGCTTCAATGCTTCAATGCTTCAATGCTCCATACAGCCGCCTCAACAGGGATGAAAACGATCATTCCATTCAACCTTACCATTGTGGGTTTGGTTTGAATCTTTTAGTTCTATTCTTGAATCGATCTCCCCGTCCTTTCAATTTTCCTTCTTGTCATTTATCTTGTTTCATGGTCGCTCCTTGTCAGTAGCTTACTTCTGTCGCAGAATATATGATACGTGTGATGCGCCCTGGATCGATAAAGTTCCCTGGGTAAAGGGACCCATTGACCCATTTCATTGAATAGTACGGAGTTGCTTAAAAGAGTGAGAGAGAGAGAGAGGGCAGAGAGATAATATATATACTCACATTTATACTCGACTGCCGTACATTCAACCCTGAGGAGCCATGATGAAATTTTAACATCTAATTCGACTGGGGAAACCACTGAGACTCTTCAAACTTCTCGTCGTTCGGAACTTGCGAATATGCCTAGGAGTCGTTCCACATCTATCAAACAATCCACTGTCACAATAGATTTATCCTTCATCCTCGACCCACTTATGAATACAGGCAGACTGAAGGACCCGTTCTAATATCCGGCTCTCAGTAAAATGAGTAAATTTACAAAGGCCGGGACCTGGAAGACGGAAACTTCAGGTCGAACAAATACCGCTTCGACCATTCGTGGAAAGATTTCTGCTCCTATCCCCATCCAGGACGACGACGAATTTCCCATTCGCTCTCCAGGAACTGGTATAGCAACGCCTCTTGGATCTCTCAATTCTGATGGAATCGAAAAAGTTATGAGGGGGTCCGCCATTTCTGGCCGCGATAGTGCTCTGGCACATGGAGAGATGGGGACTGGCAGTTATATCGAACCGCCCAGGCGAATAGGAACCACCCCTTTACCATCCGATCGGCCGTCATATAATGCCCCCTCACGTAGGACAGAGGATTACAGCGTTCCAAGGAGCTCATCGCCTGTTGGCAGACCATCAGGGTCAGTACTCTCGAAGCCGGCGCGAAAGAAGTCGACTTTCAAAGGAGTGTTTGGCAAAATATTTGGCAAGAAAAAGAAGGATGCTGCAAATAAAAAGCAGGGCGTTGGTGCTCTGCAGAGTGAACAGCATCACCGCAGCGTGAGTAGAGGCATGTTGCGTTACGTTACTCTTGTCTAATAATTTGTAGGACCCATCTGCGCTCAGCCGAAGTCCACTGAACACCGCGACCTCACCCAAACGATCTACTTCCATGCCGATCAATGAGTTTAATCGAGCCCTCCGATCGCATTCTCCTTTCGTAGATACCAGCTTGAAGGAACAGCTTAACACAGAGCGGGACCCAAACCGTATATCCACACAAACACAAAGCACAACGACAAGAACGAGGCTTACAACGGGGAGACTATACACTCCAGATAAAACACCAGGATATGTGAATTGGACAGGGCTCTCGCCACGACCTGCAAGTGCTCAAGCTAAAAGCAGTAAAGCTCCCTCTGACGAGGCGCTTCCTGGTTCAATTGGAATGGCAGTTACAATTAGCAGTCACCCAAACAGGCGTTCAAGGTCTCTTGGTCAATTGCGTGAAGCCGCAAGAATTGCGGGAGGAATCGATAGACGTCGGAGCGATGAAATTCGTTATTGGAGAGCCAGCTACGATCCAGGGCCATTATCTCCATTATCATCAGACAAAGCGGAAGTGGAGGAGCCTAGGTCAATAAATGAACCGGAAAGTCCACGATTAATAGATTCTCAGGACCAGCCACAGCCTTTCAATTTTGGTCATCTGAGTGGATTGAGTGGCATGAAGATCACCCAGGCTGCCGACCTGGCAACAAGAGTTGATCGTATCGAGTCTAGATTGGTCGAAATGGAGAAGACGGTATTTCAGATTCATCGGCGACTAAACGAAAATGGAGACAATGTCACACTTCAAGATCCCCCCAAAGGATGCAAGAGAGATCGCAGCTCTTCTGCTCGTCGTCCTCCAACTGATAATTCAGAAACGACTTTACCAGGCTTACCCCGGCATCGACATTGGCACGAATTTGGAGCTCAGAGCCGACTCTCGAATAATAATCCTCACCGCCCAACATCATCGTCTCATAATTCTTACCACCCTGATTTTGATGATACAATGCAAGCTCCATATGCCGCAACGACAGATGAACGTGTGCACTTAAGCAGCTCCCACACCACTGGTCGACCTCTTTCAACCTCGACTACTATTCGAGGTCTTCCATCTAGCTCTCCTACCATTCAAAAAGATGCCCATTTAACAATGGAGCACTACAACAATTTAACAAATATGTTCTTGGCGGAACAATCAGCTCGCGAACAACTTGAAAGCATTGTCCTCACCTTACAACGACAAATGGCTTCTTATCCTTCGATAGCATCCACATCATACCCCACCCCTGACTCTGCTACTGGAGGTGGCCCTATTCTTGATACCACATCATCGTCCAAAGGCACATCTGAAGGCTTTGGCGTGGAAAGTGATGATGACGCATACGCAGCAGGTTCCGAATTTTTTCAAACCCCTAAAGAAGAATTAGGAGGTCAGAACTTTGGAGATGAAGTTTTTGGGACTGGAAAGGGTTACGGAAGCGGCAGTTCAAGACTGACTGTCGACACTGGGAATGGTGATGCAAGGACGTTGAGTTTAAGCCAGATCACGATGGGGAAGGGTGTTCAACCTAGTTTGAACTTTTAAAGTCCAACCATCCAAGAAAAGGAGAGCTGCAGAAATAACTGGATGATTTTTTATATATCTCGGTTGCCTCATCGCGTATGGATTCCCATCATTTATTTGCCTTGTTTGATTTTGACTTTCAGGATGATACCATGAACATCTATTTTATTTTTATTTTTTCCTTCATATCCCATTCTCCTGCATTTGCATTTCTGTATTATATTATAAGTACCCTGATTTCGAGCATGTCTTGCCTTTGCCTTTTATCTGCATATCATGAACCTCGTGGTCATTCCAACATGGAAAGTTTGATATTTTTTTTGTCAGATCTCGTTTGTTAGTTTTCTTCCAAATGTATTTATAGAGGGGTTTGGATGGAGTTTGGGTTGGATGACGGAATGGAATTGGAGTTTTCCACGATTGTGGACAGAGGAAGGAGGGGAATGGGTGTCCCGATTAATTCGAGGTCGGCTTCCCTTTTTGTGTTTTCGTATTATTGTATTATTTAGTGGTAGAATGAGGAGATGTGAATAGGGGGGAAAAGCGATTAGAAGTGTGGGTGGAAATGATGTTTGAGCATTTATCTTTACACAGCGAGCAACTAGTTTGGCGGGGATTTTCAATAAGAAGAATTAGGAATTGAATATACCTAAATACATGTATAAATGGTCTCATCTCAAAGTTATTATTTTACTATACAATTTGTCATGTTGGATTGGTGATATTATTGAGCATGTGGTAGATTGAATCGTGGTAGATTGAATCAAGAGTCGCAAATCTATTCTTGATTACCTACCTAGGTACCTAGGTATTGGAAACTGGGTAATGTTATGTAAATCGATTAGATCAATGACAATGTTGAGGATTGGTGATTTAAAGCTTGAATTTGGTTGGTGATTGAGAATATGAGGGATGTATTGATATCTATAGAATTGGCACTAGCATTAGCCTTTCCTTATAGTCTTGACTATTCTCCTGAGTAGGCTGAGCTACGAGTAGTCGGTATCTTCAATAACCTTAAGCTTTCCCCGCCTCCGCGGGGGTTAGCGTCATTCCACATCCCTGTTGAACCGAGGCCGAGGCAAAACTGTCCGACCTCAATCTTGTCTCATAAATACAACATCCAGCTCTCCAAAATGTTTCCACCCATATCCTATCTATCCTCCACACCATCCCATCTCAAAACGACCGTCTATTCACCATGGCCGGACCCGTCAGACAACCAATTGATCTCCCGGCTCTGGAGAAATATATCGAGACGCATGTTCCAGAAATCACCACCCCGATTGAGATTACACAAGTGCGTATGCTGTTCTCTTCTATCTCCCTCCTCATTGCAACTCGTGAACTTTGCGGTACCTGATATTCGATATTCGATATTCGATACTCGATAGATGCTAATTCATTTCATCTCATCAAAGTTCGGATTCGGACAATCAAATCCTACATACCAACTGCAGTCTTCCAATGGGTACAAATACGTGATGCGCAAGAAACCCCCGGGAAAACTCGTCTCGAAAACGGCGCATCAGGTTGAGCGCGAATACCGCGTCATTCATGCGTTGGGGAAGACGGATGTGCCGGTCCCGAAAACGTATTGTTTGTGTGAGGATGAGGGGGTGATTGGTACACCGTTTTATATTATGGAATTTTTGGATGGGAGGATTATTGAGGATCCTGGGATGCCGGGAGTGAGAGAGGTGGAGAGGAGAGAGATGTGTGTTGTTGTTTTTTACTTCTTCTTCTTGTTCTGGCTTTTTCTTATTCGACAATTGAAGTTATGGGAGAGGGAAATGCTAATGTGGTGTTTAATGAATAAATAGGTGGCACGATGCTATCCGTACTCTAGCCAAACTCCATCGAGTGGATATATCCGAAGCCGGCCTGACGAGTTTTGGCAAAGCAAACGGATTCTACGATCGCCAGATTAAAACGTTTGGGACCATCAGCGCCGCGCAAGCTTCGACGGTGGATATCGAGACCAAGAAACCCGTGGGTCAGATTCCACATATTGACGAGATCTTGGGATTTTTTAGAGACAAGAAATATCAGCCACAAGATCGAGGAACATTGGTGCATGGCGATTATAAAATTGATAATCTCGTTTTTCACAAGACGGAACCGAGGGTGATTGGGATTCTGGAGTATGTATTTTTTCCCCCTCTCTTCGTATAATTTTCGATGCATGTGAGCATAAAGTAATAAAAATAAATAAACCCCCAAACTAACATCCCCTCCCCCCTTCTAGCTGGGAAATGTCCACCATCGGCCACCCCCTCTCCGATCTCGTCAACCTCCTCTCCCCACACAGCGTGCGACACGAAAAAAAATTCGCCTCGCTCCCGCAATTTCGCGACGAGGACATCCCCGGTCTGCCCGCGCAATCCGAACTCCTCTCCTGGTATCGGGACACGGCGGGCTGGGATCCCGAGCCCGATTTGTCGTGGGGCGTCGCGTTTGGTTTCTTTAGGAATACGTGTATTTATCAGGGGATTGCGGCGCGCTGGGCCGTGAGGCAGGCGAGTAGTGCGATGGCCGAGGTGCATGCGCGGGCGAGGTGGCCGATGGGGGAGTTGTGTTGGAAGTTTGTGGGGGTGGCGAGGAGGGGGAGGGAGGAGGGCGAGGGGGAGAGGGAGAGGGAGAGGGCGAAATTGTAGGGGAGAGGGGGGTGTGTTGGGGGGAGGGGGGAGGTTTATCGCAATGGAGAATAAATGAATAATTGGAATTGTGTGAGTGAGTGAGTGAGTGAGTGAGTATATGATATGGGAATTTTAATGGTCGTTCATTTTTCTTGTGGAATACTTCATTCCCTCCATAATTAAAATATAAATTTTCATCATTTCCATTGCTATGTATGGAAACCCGAGCTGAGCTAAGCTAAGCTAAGCTAAGCTATACATATCCCCACCTGTGATATGATACGAGGTCCCCTCAATATCCCATTCCTATTTTCGCTCGGGGGATATCGCGTGGAAGAAATAAAATAGAAAGACAGAAAGAAAGAAAGCATGAACGAATCCCCCATGTAAAATTCTAATTAATCACCAATTTACGCCCTGCGTAACCCACCCACCCACCAGACCAGACCAAACCGAAAAAGATCAAACTCCGCATCCACCCCCCCCCTGTCCCCCATCCTATCCCCCATCCCCTAAAGTCTCTTCCAAAGAACATCCTTCTCAAAGATCCTCACTCCAGGAATATCATGAAACTTCAAGCCATCCAAACTCTGCATCTTCAAACCTCTGGACAAGCAATCACCACCGGAAAAGAACCTCTCACTCTCACTCTCACTGTCACTATCACTGCCCATGCCCTTCCCACTCTGCATATACAATTCCACAAAGCTCAGGATCTCAGGCTTGACGACCTTCTTCTTGATTCTCTCAATCTTGCTCACGCTTCCTTTGAAAGCTAGATACTCCAATTTACACTCTGGGGTATGAGCCACGCTATCCATGGTGAATCTTCGAAGTTCGTTTCGAACCAACTGACATGTATCTTCTGAGCGGAATTCAGTTGCGTGGAGAGCGCGAAGGGATGTGAGGGCGGAAAGGTTTTGATTGATGATGTGCTGATTTAGTGTTAGTAATGTGTGGATGCGTTGAATGAAATGGATGATTGACACGTGCAAGAATGGGAATCGATGCATGTCATGTGCAATTAGACAAATTTGCCTGATCCAGCATTCATTCAAATGAACCAGCAAAAAGATATTGCTAGAATGACAAGAAAAGGAATATTCGAATGTTCAAATACCATAGGAACAATAAAAGAAAAGCACTGAGATAACATACCAAAATATTGACATCAAAAGAGGCCGCCAATTCTTCTAAATTCTTCCCCTTCCTACAAAGTAAAATCGCCGTCTTAGCATCTAAATCCCACGCAAAAGGACTCTGTTGATGAGGAATCCCCTCCAGATGCAACGACAGAACCTTTAAATGTTGAGCATGTTTCCTAAGAACCAATTTCCTGATTTGTTCAATCGTGACTATAATCTTAGACTCAGTATCGACTTTGGTTCTATTAGATCGTTCGAGCAAACAAAGTTCGGTTATTTTGGCAAGTTGACCAGCAGCTTCAAGAAAATGTACAGTGACAGTATCGACGTAAATTTCATGAAGTGGAAGTGGAGCGACTTTATTTTCGCGTGCTACCATATTCCAAAATGTTGTTTGAGATCCAACACTAAGTAGAGTAATGCTTTTCAAAACTCTAATGTCAATGGCTTTTGAGATGACGGAATTTTTCATGGGTATTTGATAGAGTGACAAATCCTCGAGGGCAAGACCACGACTTTTTCGAACGTAATCTTTCATCTCGTTGTCGAGATTGACACTAGGAGCCTCAATCTCCTTTCCATCTTCGTTGCTACTTGTCTCGACTGCTTTAAGAGGTGGTTCAACTTTCTCAGTAGAGTCATCTCCCAAATCTGAGTTCGTCTCGGGTTCAGTAGTGACATCGTCAACAATTTCGGAATCTATCATAAGCTCTTTTGAATCAGGTTCCTCTATATCGATATCGTCAGGATCTATAATCTCTTTGGATTTAGGTGCTTGTGTTGGCGTTCTAGATTCGTCAAATAAACTAGGTTGATCATCAGATTCGGTATCATCTGTAGTTTCTTCCTCTCCAGGAGTCGTTGTAGCTGATGAATCAGTACTCTCCACATTGGCATCCTTTTCAACATTTTCATTTGTAGTAATGACTGGTGTGTTGCTACTTTCCGCATTGCTGCCTTCCACATTACTAGCCTCTGACTTATCAGAAGATTCAATCCCATTTTTCAAGCCGTCAATGTAAGCCTGCGTACTCTTCTTAATCAATTTCTCGACGAATTGTTCCCTTTCCGCGTCGGAAGTTGCGATTTCAGCAATGATTTTCGCCGATTTTTGCATCAATTTTACAAAGGCAGCCAAGGAAGCAGAATTTTTCTTGTTTCCCTCCGCTTCAATCTCTGAATCGTCTTCCTTCTGACACGTTTCCGTATTGCCTTTTGAATTGGAATCGATACTAAAGATCTTTCCCAACGCAGCTTCCTGTGCTTTCTTTTCCTCTGTGACCGTAGTTCCTTTCAATGGATCAGGTGTAAGCGAAAATGGATTAGGAACTGATGTCAATTGACCAAACTCATCTTCGGTTTCAGTTTCATCGTCATCTTCGACAGGAGCTGACACGGGTGGTTTTTTAGATCTAGACGCAAAGACCTCCGAGAATGATAACTTGAGGGAATTAAGAGTTGTTGATGAGTTCCGTAAACATTTTCCAATTTCAGATAGATCATCCAAGTTATCCATATCAAGAATTGCCAGACTTTGCAAGTTTTTGAAGGCTGAAAATATTGGAGATTTTCCATTGACAATTGGAGTATATCCTTTTCCGCCATTATGTTTAGATTTATTCGCCGTAAAAGATGAATATGGATGGGTTGTAATATCGTAAACTGCAGAGTCAGTCTGGGTGTTTTGAAAAGCTGGAATGACAATCGGCGTTGAAACGTTGTAGGTCAAAGATGGATTCGCATTGGTGACGGAGGTCTGTACAGCTGGCATTCGAACATGTAAATGTTGTAGAGAGCTTATACGATGTAATTCTTTAAAGACCTGCCCACTCAACTGCACACGAAGGTCCCATCTAAGATTCATACATTAGCAAGTGCACATTGTTACCAAGAGGATAAAACAATCAACCTACTTGAATGCCTCAAGAGCTTTAGCTTTCCGTAAAGTCAATAATAAGAGGGTATTCATGAATTTCCCACAGCTAGTATCATAAAGATAAGAACGATATGCGAATTGCCCCTTCAAACTCCCATTCAAAGGTTCCAGAACAATATGTCTCAGATATTTCGAATAATCATAATCGCTCGTAACGAATGTGTCCAGCCCGGACGCAAGACTATCGATATTTGAGTCCTCTTCTTCATCGAGATCTGGAAAAACAATATGAAAGGTTCGATATAGCTCTTCGGCGGCTAGGTCGCGGAAATGCTTTGAAACAACGGACAACTGAAGCAATTCTGGGGTGTCCAACTAGGATAGAAGTGTTAGCATCGTCGCATCGATGATCGCACATTGAAATGTATTTGGAAAGCAAATGACTGTCAAGCATTCAAAGTAGAAAACAAATTGAAGGACTTACATGCACCAAGATTCCTGATTGAACCTCTGAAGGCAGACGAAGAATACCAACATTTTGCACCTCCTCCGACATTTTCTCTGCGATTCCAAAGAGGTTATCGATGTTTCAATTCAAGGAGAGTGGATAGATCTCATCAAGAGAGAGAAGGTTGAATCTTGCCAGTCGCAGTGGCAGTCGTAGTCGTAGTCGCAATATCAACCCTTCAAGAATCTCTTTCCTTATCCCTATCCTTCCTTATCTGTAATCTTCTCTTCCGTATCAATATTCGATATGCGATATGGTTTTAAATAAATCTATTTTCCAAATACCCTATCAGAGATCCGCTTCACAAATAAATCCTGTTGTGAAAAATTCTTTCTCGCATTAGATGAGATTCCGTGTCGATGTTTTTGATAGGTAGGATCAAACGATACCTACCTCCCTACCTAGTAGGTACTTTTCGTTCATATGTACTACAAGGCTGAGATAATGATTGCTAGTAAATGCGGGGTTATTATTGTAGGGATTTACCCTGCGGGCCTGCTTACCAGCGAATTGCGGGGAGCGATGTCACGGGATTTAAAAAGAGAATGAAATACTCTCTCTACATTAGCAAAATAACAAGTAGAAATTGATTACTATTTAGGATGCGTTCGAATAGATTTCTTATTTATTTAATGAAATATCTAATAATGTCAAAATAGCAAGGTTTAGGCTAATATATTTAAATGATATTGAAATATACTTTAATAATATTAAAAAGTAGTAGAAGTAGATAAAAATAATAGAAGTAGATGAAAATGAAAATTTGTTAAAGATTTATTAAAATAATCTTTCTAATACTATAAAAAACTATATCACGATTTATTTGATAAATATATAAGAATTTTGAGAGGATTTATTATTCTAAAAATTATTTATTAAATAAATTATTAGAATTTATTTTATAATCTCGAGCATTTAATAAATATATTTATTTATCAAATAATCTCTAATAATTTATTTCAAAATCTCGAACGTTCGATAAACCTATTATTTAAGTTTATTTACTCAATAATTTAGATTTAATAATTAAAATAAGTCGAAATAAATCGATTCGAATATACTCTTAAAAGAAATTTAATAACTGAAATCTCTTTTTAATATAATATTAAATAAAAAAAATATTAAATTTCAATATATAAGAGACTCGAATCTTCATATACTTTTTTCAAATTTTAATATTTAATTTGAAATGAATTTATAATCTATTAAAAAAGTCCTTTGAAAGAATACTCAATTTTCGTCTGTTTTTTCGTCTAGATAGAGATTCTCTTCGAAATCATTAATAAAATATCCCTTTCTTTCATTAAACTTTATACTTTACACTTCAAACTCCAGTATCCAGTACTCATACCTCATTCCAATCCTCATATCCCTCCCTTCATTAAACTTCATATCCATACCTATCATCAAGGAGGCAAGCCCTTGATTTTTAAAATACAGTCCAAATGATCGGGAACTTCGTCTGTAATTTTGAGCACCTCTACCTAAGTAATCATTTGAGCTACCGTCCCAGAATATCGAAAACTCTATTTCTCATCTTCTATTATTCAAAAATCGCAAACCTCAAGCCCTCAAAGTCTGACAACTCTTACAAATTAGTCATCTGATCTCATCGTATGCCTTACCTTCCACCTAACTCTCCATCAGGATCTGGTGTACGATATCCAACATGAAATTTATCAAGTGTCAAAGCGAGATAACATACAAGACCAGATACCAAAGCTCCGTAACATCATTCCAAAATCGCCATGAGCAAAGTCAAAGAAGTGAGAATCAGGAATGAAGAATGAAGAAAACTCTATCCCCTGCATGGAGATCCGAACCCTCACTTCCGAATGCTTTTCATTCATACCCCCTACACCCGATTTCATAACGTGTGTCCAAAAGAAAAAGCACTTTTTCAATATCACCTAATCGAAATTCCAAAAACTGAAAAATTCAACTCAATCAGTATAGCTTCAAATTGAAAAAACTCTGTATCATAATATAGATATCAATTGAAAGAATCGATAAATAAAATCTGAATAGAATTGATCAAAAATTGATTGAATTGGAAGTGATTGAATGAAATTATGATTTTTGAAATAGTTTTCAGGTTTTTAAACTTTCGAAAATTGAATTTTCATTCAACCATCTTCAATTCAATCAATTTTTGATTAATTCTATTCATATTTTATTTCTTGATTTTATCAATTGAGATCTATATTTCTATATAGAGTTTTTCCAATTTGGAATTATATTGATTGAATTGAAAGTAATTGAATTATTTTTATATTGGATTTAGCAAAAAGTTGATTAGATTAAAAAAAGTCACGTTTTGGACATACGTTATGAAATCGGGTATAATGCTTAAGTGAACAAAACACACATAACTTACTCAGTCAGTGAACAGTCACATAACATCGACATCAAGTATCTCAAAAGTATCAATCATCAATCATCATTACTCAAGTAAAGAACAGAAAACCATTCCATCTCAATCTCCATTTCCATCATTATTACCATCACCATCACCATCACTTTCCCAAGCTCCAAAACTTAATATCCTCAGAATCCAATCTCGACCCTTCCCAATTCCACTCGTATACGCAATTAATCGTCAAAAATCCCCAATTGCAAGTAAGTACCTAGTACCTATCAGAAGTGAAGCACCATAATAGAGAGGTCTCCACATCATAAGCTCATCACCACAATCTCGCATTTGTATTTTCCCCTCCATCAACTCCATCTCCATCAACTCAATCTGCATCAACTCCATCTCCTCCCTCCCTTCCCACCTCATCAAACTCAAGGAATAGGCGCCGCCAACAACACCGCACACTTCGCGCTGCAAACCCCAAACGCCGTATTACACGCCACGATAGTCGCCGGCGCCGTCGCTGCCGCCGTCGCTCCCCACTGTGTTTATGTTCTCACATTAGCATGTGTATATATATTAAATACCTATGTTATACATCTGAATCACATCTCCATCTCCATCTCCATCCAAATCAAAAAAACAAGAAAAGATATAAAATTCATACCGTCGCTCCCCCCGCCCCATAACAAGCCATCACCACCGCCGCACACCCACTCTGACAAACTCCGTATGCAATCGGTCCTGCAGTTGTTATTCCTGCGAAGACTGCGATGAGAAGAATAGATGATGATGATGGTTTCATTTTCCTTGGTATTTTTGTTTCGTTTTGTTCTAGTTCTTGTTTCGTTCGAGATGTTGATATGTTCTGGATATTGATTCAATTCGATAAACTTATATCTAGAAAAACAAATAAGAATAAGAATAACAATAACAACATCACCAACACTAAAACAAACTACAAATCTCACCAACTCACCAACTCACCAACTTACTTCCAAATATCTCACAAATCGTAAGGTTATCTCACAAAATTCCAAAATCAGAAGAGTTAAATATCTAGATATTCATAGCAAGTAAAAGCAGAAGCACTACTCAGCACATTATATATATATAAATTTTCCCTCTTCTTGTATGCCTTACTCCGCTTCTACCCCTCATTCGATCTGCTTCTTGATTTCGCTTATGCTATTTATTATCCAATCATCTTATACCTCACACCTTACACCTTACACCTCATATCTTGTATCAATCCTATCCCATCCAATTACTATCCAATCACCATCCAATCCAATACCATCCCATTCCATCCTATCCCATCCCTCCCCCTCACTCTCCCCCTCACTCTCCCCCTCACTCTCCCCCTCACTCTCCCCCTCACTCTCCCCCTCACTCTCCCCCTCACTCTCCCCCTCACTCTCCCCCTCAATCTCCCCTCACTCTCCCCTCACTCTCACACCACATCCAAACCACACCCAATCCAGATTTTCCAATTTTCCTTCTCTTCCCCCTTCTCTTCCCTCAACCTATCCCATCCCATCCCATCCCATAAAACCACTAAAACATCCCATCTATTCAAGCTTGCTGTTACACAACATTACAGATCCCTCATCCCACATCCCACATCCCCCATCCCACATCCATCCCTCATTACAAATCAAACACCACAAAAGCGCACACACATCCATACATTTATTTCCAAGCATTACATTTACATTTACATCTGCATTTACATTTACATTTACATCTACATTTACATCTGTTCACCTAGGTATATAATCTTAATCTTAATTTTAATCTTATAATCAGATCAGATCAGGATCAGAATTAGGATTAGGCTACCTATACTATACAACACTCCATACACTCCATACACTCCATATACTCTATACACTCCATACACTCCATACACTCCATACACTCCATACACTCCATACACTCCATACACTCCATACACTCCATACACTCCATACACTCCATACACTCCATACACTCCATATACTTTATATAAACAACCCCCCTAAAACTAACCCTCTTATCTCCTTTCCTCCCCTCCCCTCCCTCTGATATATATCCAGTACTACGTAAAAGAATCTATATGAGTATATAAATAAATAAATAATTAAATAATAAAAGAACTTTAAAATAGATATATCAATATAAATAATATTAAGAATGAAATAATATCAAGAATGAAATAATATTAAGAATGAAATAATATATATATATACACCTATACACCTATACACCTCTCTCTCTCTCTAGATATATATATTCGCGCATCACGCTATACTGCATTGAGTACCTATCTATCTACAGGATTCGAAGATTGATAGGTAAGTAAAGAGAACGCTATAATCTTATCTCGATTGGTCCATCATATGTATGGATGGATGTACCTATGGATGTACCTATGTATGTATGTATGTATGTATACCTTTCCATACCCGATCCCATAACGCCACAACCCACCTGCAAGACTAGCTGAGCCAAGCTGAGCCGAATGAAGAAGAAGAAGAAGAAGAAGAAGAAGAAGAAGAAGAAGAAGAAGAAAAAGAAGAAGAAGAAGAAAAACAAAAACAAAAACAAAAGATAATAATCGCTAATAAGTAAACTTATCCAAAGCTTACTAGTCCAGTTCACCTGCTCATCATATAACCTCCTACCTCTATCCCCATCCCTACCCCTACCCACCTCATCATCAACAAAATCAATTCAAATCAACTCCCACGCCGCAACCCCCGCGAATGCCATCGCACACTTCCCCTTCTTCCCCTCATACCCTCTCTTCGTCATTCCCCTCGCATCCTCTCCATCAACCACCGTAACCGCATACAAACTAATCGTCTGACCTCTCACTCCCAATTCCCCAACTCCCACATCGACCCACCACCAAAACCCGTCAAAATCAAATGCTACCATATCATCATTTCTTCCATCCACTCCTCCTATCTTCAAAACTAGACAATAAGGTTTACCGAGACCATTTCGTTCAAAGTCAAAATGTTCACAGACTTTTGAGAATTGAAATCGCATCATATCGTTGGATGTGGGTGAGGCTTGTATGTATTTTTGAGGTGGAGTAATTGAAGTTTGTGAGATACCATGACAATCTTCTACAGAACCAAAAATCTGTAATGGTTCACCACCAATATTTCCAATGAAATATTCTTCCCACGTTAAAGCTCTCCTATCCTTCCTAAAGAAATGTGACTTATTGGCTGGAAAATGCTTGAGGCCAAATTCTTCATTCGACATGGTGAAGTAGGATGAGATCAAATTTTTGTTGTACATTTGATTCTCTCCTAATTGTCCGGAACCCCAACAAGGATCAATTAGCTTCCATTCCCCTCCATCGATACGTACTGCATTCCAGGCATGACCACCAGGATTAGGCGGTGGACACGATTCTCCTGGTTTAAGAGGTGTATAACCAAATCCTTTTCCATGACCAGTTACCATGATAGCTTCGAGTCCTGCTTTAAGTGCAATAGCCGTGAAAAGACCAGCATATCCACCACAGACAGCTAATCCAGTTTTAATAGTATCGGCAGGTGTAACATTTTTGACTCGGTTCCCGAAAAAAGCTCCAGTGTCATAAGCGATGTTATGATGAAGCCAAACGAAGATAGCACGAGCTTTATCAGTGGGCGAGCTGAAAGGACGACAAAGAACATCAGCAAGATATCCTGTATTATCAGGGGACCTTGGAAGGAATTCCCTTGAATATTTTGATGCAATTTGATCCGGACCAGAAAAGTCTCGACATAAAAGGCAGCCCTGTGATGGAGAAGATAATGTAGTTGGAGCAACACTTACAGCTTTTACTTGAGCCGACGTTGGCTTGGATCGAAGGTTAATAGGTGGTGGTGCTCCTCCCCCAGGTTTTGGTGCATCAGATGGTGATATTCCAGTCTTTTCAGTCAAGAACTTTGTCATGGCGTCCGTTTCTCTCATATATTGGTACTTTTCCGGATCATCTCCACTTCCGTCAAAGAACATGATGGTCGGATATCCTTCAATACCATATCTTGCCAAGAAAGATTTATGTGCATCAACATCAACTTTTGCAATCACAATTCTGTCAGAAGCAAATGCAAAATCCTCGGCAAGCTGTTTATAATGTGGATCCAATTCGACACAATACTTGCAATATGGAGCATAAAAGTCCACAAGAGCAAATTTTCCGGAGAGAATAATACGATCAAAATTATTGGCATTCAATTCTTGAACAGCAGGACCGGGGGGCCTATTGTATGTAGGTGTTGGTCCTGGTGATGGGTTTGGTGTTTCGGTAGATTTGTTACCAAATCCTAGGGATAGAACAGAACGAGTATGGGATGGAGGTGGTAATCTTCGCGGTGGTAGAGAGACTGAATTCTCATCTTCTACATTTGCAATGGGTCTAGGAGGCATTTTAGGTGGGCCATTTGATCTTGATGGCAGTTTGGGTGGCAATTCACGTTCAACGACTGGAGGTTGTTTGAGAATAACTGGAGCTGACTTGGTCTGTTTTTTAAAAGTGTTAAATTTGTAATTATAAAGGGGTTTGGAGCTAGGAGGAAAGTTGAGATGAATATGCCTGGAATTCTACGTCCAACCTGAAATGGAACAAATTCTGATGATGAGATCGCCCGCCCAAAACCAAGACTAGAGATAGTACTAGAAATACTTACAGAAACGAGAGGGAATTTAGCCTTCTGCTCTAACCTTGCCTTCTCTTGTAACTCTCTTCTTGAAGGTGGTAGAGGTGGAAGTTTTGCCATATCCAAGGGGGGAGGTAACATTCTCCCATCTTTTGATCCTATAGATGTGATTGAAGATGCAGGTCTGCCATAACTATTCAATGACATGGCCGAGACCGTAGACATTTGTGAAATGGTTGAGTCCCCCGAATCTCTCCTTGCCAATTGTGTAGAAGTAGATGCTCTTCTTGGTGGCAGATTTGGAGTCGAGGCTTTTCTCGTGGGTAATGGAGGAGGTGCATTTCGAGCTGGGAGAGCAGGACTCTTGGAATTATTAACTGGGGCATTGCCATTGACTGGATTCGAGTTGGCTTTTGTGCCAAGAGGCTCATTGAATGGTTTCTGGCCAACAAAAGAACCATATGTGACAATTGGAGGATTGTTGGCAGTCTTTGGTCTTGTAGGAAGAGGAGGTCTATCGGAATTGGGAATAGGAGGTGGTGGAGGTCGTTTGGCTACTATCAAACTATTATTCGGAGGGGCAGAGTCCCCCGCTTGTTGTTGCTTCAATGCAGCAATACGTTGCGCGAGGGTGGTAAACTGTGGCTCTTCAACATCGGCCATCATGTGCGATATGATTGTAGTAACTTTTCCGACCTTGGATAAAAGCGAGATTATATGTAGTAGCCAAGAAAACAGAAGGAATACTTGTTGAAGGTGGGGCCAGAATACTGCCTAAATGATTCACTTGATGTATGCTGCGTGTCACAACGAATTCGAAGCGCGAGAACGACAGTGAGATGAATATTGGATATTAAAAGGTTGGGAAAAAACGAAAGAGTTGTGATATAAACATTAAGATGAAGTTTTCGAAATCAGGATTTGATTATTATCGAAGGATTCATGACAACTGATGTAATGTAAAGAATGGAATTGAAATACCTCAGCACAAGGCTGTGGTGCGGCACAGTTCAAGTAATTATGTATGTGATAATGGAAGATCTTCAAACTGAGCTGTTTAAAGTGGTCGACGAGATTTCTCATTGGGCAAAGCAAGCTAAAGCAGACTTGGCAGGGACCAGAAGTGGAATTCTTAAAAGTCCCATCTCTCCATATCTCCGCAGGAAAATTGGATTATAATATATTTATAGATTTATAAGGTTTGCTTACTTGCTTTAGGATTATATACAAGGAAATACGAGGAACCATCTACGATAAATATTTTATTAGAATGTTTTAATTGGATTTACCAAATCCAATAGTGTCCCAATTTATGAGATTGATGTGCGATAGCAACAGAATTATCGGACTAGATAGTCCACGGGTCGTATCTATTTATCTAGGCAGGTATATATGTATGTGTGGACCTAGGTAGTATGTATGCAAGAGTTACTCTCCATCTCCATACAAGTCGATACAACAGAAGTCATATACGGTAGGTATTTTCGAGCGCAGCGAGCTATGGGGGTTTGGGGGCTTGCCCCCATAATAGCAACATAATTGTTCATTTAATTAAAAGTTAATTACAATTATATTCATGAAGAGAATGACGCTCCGCTGGCCCTCCGGGAGCCACTGCCGTGGAGGCAGAATATCTGGGAATGGAAATATCTTTTCTAGGAATTGGGTAAAGTGTTTGATTAAGAAAGATATAAAATCGAGAACCTATGTCCTTCATTGCCCAGACGGACTATAGCCACCCATAACTCCTTTGTATTTGATAAATAGCCTCATCCAGACACCTGAATCCCTTGTACCCATTGCATACAGAATTCTTCCAAGACAGGTCCAGCCAGAGCCCAATACGCCGATTATGTAGTTATACAGACCTCCCATTCAATTTTCAAATAGCGAATGTCGAATATGCCTGCTTGGTCCTCGAGATACTCCCAATCGTATATTTCCACTTCGTTTCCATTGTCGAATCCGAGTTGCAGTATGCCCGCCTCCTCAATCCATCTACTGCCAAACGTAAACAACCTAACCGTCCCACTGGATCCCTTTCCCATTCTCTGCATACAATCTTCCTCTAAAACAATAAATCCAAACAACAACAACAAGCCATAGCTCCTAAACAAGCCCCCAAAAAGCCATCGCTAGAGGAACCTCTCTGCTGTTGGCCATATCCCTGTTGATATCCATAAGGTTGTTGTTGGTATCCATATGGAGGTTGTTGCTGATATCCCATCTGCGGACCTGGCGCATAGTATCCTCCTTGTGGTGGGTATCCTTGTTGAGGGTATTGACCTTGCGGGTATGGTTGTTGGTAAGGTTGTTGATATGGCTGCTGTTGATATTGAGGATGAGGCGAGGGAGAAGGATGCATATATGCTGCTTGAGGGGGGATGGGTGCAGAGTTTTGACTAGGACCATCCGAGCCATATGCTGGAGGTGGAGGACCTTCTTCGTATTTCTTCGACATTTTTGATTGAGTTTTGGTAGATGGAATGCGACGTTGGTGGTGTTGGTATGGTAATTCTCGGAGACTGACGGATCGTGATGTGAAGTCTTCTTGTACTCGTAGATACCTAGTAGAATGGAAAGTCTTTGTACTATTAAGACAGATCTGTTAGATGGTGGCGCTTGGTACGATCTAATAATTCCAGATCAACGTCATACCAGATGGCTAAATTAATTAATGAAGATCCAAAGTATGTTTGACTTCGTATTCAACGGATATGGAGATGGTTCGGCCGACGAATCCGTAGGTATATTGGGATATGATGGCAGGAACACCGATTGAAAGGAAAAGGAGATGAAAACGAATTTATTGAGGTTGTCGAGATTACCTTGGATATGGATTTGAGTATTAAATGAAGATGAGAATGAAAAGAAAAAGAAACAAAGAAATGAAATGAAATGAAATGCTTGGTATTCGGAGTTTCTGGGCTTTTCATATTTCGATAAGATAATACATTTACTGTCGCAAACTTGGCCTTTGATGGTGGCTTAGCACAAGATCATAATACCAACCAACTATCCTCGTACCAGCGATTCATTCGAGTACATCTTATGATATGAGAGACGATACACACGCCTCATCATTCAACAGGAGGAGAATGTGATGCCAATATCGAAGATAGGGAGATGAGTGTTTGTTGAGAAGTGCAAATGTAATATGTAAAGAGAAGGGATGTGAGAAGGGATGTGATTATGATCTTGTTAGGAATTGTTATGTCTTATTCTATTCGTCCATAACCATAACCATGGCCATGGTACTTTAATTATTTGGTGGAGCCCATACACATTGTGATACGTCGGCGAAGGGGCAACTGCAAGGTGAATCAATTTCAGTGCACAGAGGACTACGAATTTAGTACGAAGTCCGGATGTGGATGTGGATGTACAGAGCAGAGAGAGTCCTAGATACATAACTACCTAGGCTCGCGACCTCGAGAAAAAGCCGTCCACCAAAATTCTATACCTTAATCAAAATTTAATATCAAAACAACAGATTTAACTTTTTGATTGAAATTATATATATTAATAATTTATTAAAGAAAGATTCTAAAGCTTTAATTTTTAGAATATTATAAAATATAGAGAAATTTATATTGAATTTTGAAAAAGATTATTTCTAGATTCTCTTTTATTTTTGCAGGGTTGGTGTCCGGCTTTTTCTCGAGGTCGCGAGCTAGGTACCTACGATAGTTCTACTGTATATCTTCACATGCACAAGCGCCCTCAACCCTCGACCCTCGACCCCTCGATATGAGAGAATCCCATGCCAGCCTCTTTCTTTTTACCAAGTCAACGAATTCAATTTTCCAATTTTCATCGCACCAACGATAGCACGATACCTACCTAATCAAGCGCGATATCATGAAGAGACTACCAGCCATCTGCATTTTCAACCACTCACAAATCATGAATCGTAAGGTTACCAGAAAAGCGGAAAAGTCTGCCTTGTCTCTATTTCCCCAGAGAGTTCTTGTTCATGTTGTTCTAGATTGCGCAAGCCAAAAGTAGAGAACTACGCGCAAGCGATTAGAACGACTAGGTAGGGTAGGTATAGAAAACGGATGTATGAGCGTTCATTGATAGGTACCATTATGCTCGGTATGTATGGATGGATGAATGGGATGGATGGATGGGATAGTTTGAAGGAATCCTCGGAATGGGATAAATCTACTTTTAGCTCATACGACTGGGTTTCCAACTTTCTCGATATTCTTTCCTTTCTCCCTACCTACCCATCTCCCCTCCCTTTTTCTTTCCTTCACATAATATATCTTCATTTTGGACATCTCCAGTCAATCATTCCTCGTTCCTCGTTCCTCCATTCGTTCCTCTTGTATTCACTCACCCACCTCATAATTCCATCTTCCAGAATCAGCTTATCAAATTCCAGCATCACCCCTCCACTTGAATTAAATTAATCGTATCGTATCACCCCGTCAAGCTTAGACCAGCATCGTTAAACAGCTCAGTCGTAAACAATCAATCAGGATATCAACACGCAGCATATGAAAACACATCACACTTCCGGCGCATAGTTGGGGAATAAATTCCAGAAGCCTCCTCTACGCCTCGAGCGTCATCTCGCTCGCAGGTTCATCATCAAATATGGCCCCCATTCCCATTTCTCAATTCTCGGGAATTTCACTATCCTCAAGGCATGTTTCGCATTCGGCTTCGTTAACCTCGAGGACGACGACCATTTTACAGCCAATCTCTACAGTTTTCCAACCAGGACATGTTCAGTCATCTTCTTCTCCTTCCAATCTGGCAAAACTCTTGACTCGCCTAATCTCGCGACAAACTACGAGTAGTAACCCAAGTATAATTCCTACTACCTACGGACAACAAAACAATTCTCCTTCGCCTGGCACAATCGTCGGCATAGTTTTGGGTTCGGTGGGAGGCTTTCTACTACTTCTCTGGCTCTTATATACATGTTGCACATTGGGACGTCGTCGATCGGCGCAATCTACAGTTACCGAAGATGTGACGTTCCGTGAGAATGTCCGGCGGAGATCACACAATTCGCACAGGAGTTCGAGACCGCATAGTCGAAGAGTGAGCACCACGGAGAAAGTGGAGATTAGGCGTCAACGCAGTCGCAGCCCGGCTCCGGTGAGAGTGGTGAGGGAGGAAGTGCGACAGGAAACGAGGAGGCCTCCACCACCTGTGGAGAGGGTAATTGTGGAAGAGAGGAGAGAAGTGAGGAGGAGTAGGGAGAGAAGTCCGAGTTCAAGTGGTGGGGGTAGTGATGAAGTCGTCGTCATTGAAGAACATGACCCACCGAGGAGGTCGAAGAGCAAGAGGGAGAGGAGGGAGCGTGGGGAGCGCGGGGAGCGGGCGGAGCGAGACAGTGGATTCAGAACTGTAGACCCATTAAGCTTTGGGGGAGTCGTTGGTGGAGAAGGTCGAAGAGGTGAAAGAAGAAGATGATACCCAAATTTGTGAGAGAAACACGGGACTTGCGATGGGAGGTTGCGATTGGAGTAATGGCGGGGATATATCAAAGGAGATGGAGAAATCTCCCGGCATTAATATAATTACGCAGCACAAACCATTCGACCATTTTCATTTTCTTTCTTTCGAGTCACCTCCGCATGGAGCACCCCTTTGTATTTTAAACCGCACTATAAGTATCCCGCGCCGGTGGCTATTTGAATTCC